TTACTTCATGACTGTTTTGGGGGACATTACTGTGTGCAAATTGGCTGCTACGTTTGTCTCCAAATGCACTTAACGGTAAAATCCCATAAAAAGCTTTGAGACATTTTAAAATACATTATTGCATCAATTTTCTAGTAATTAAAACTCCTGACCTCTGAGAAGCAATAGGATGATTTTATGGCATCACAAAGTGTGAGTGGAAATGTTTAAAAAATGACTGGTCCTGGGAGCCCAGAATTTCCAGAGTTGTTAGCCAAAAGGTTAAGCTGCCTCAGTCTGCTGCTTTTATCTATTAATTATTATAATTCTGCCAAAGCAAAACTCCAGCTGAATTGTTTGTTTTGCGTCGTCCATTCACAGAAAGCACACAGATGTGAAAATGTACTGTAAAAGAAGACAGCCGGGCAGTGCGAAATTTGCATTAATACTTTCCAGCTTTTTTTTCTTTATATCTAAGTATTAATATTTGCCACTCAAGAAACAAGAGAGGAGACAAGTTAATGTAAGTGATACGAACACAAAATGAATACTGTATATCTTTCATAAAGGGCAAGAGCGAAGTGAAAGCTTTTGAGGCACACTCTCGCCAACAATTTTTTGCTACCTTCATCCACTTCCTTCAGATTGCACACCCTTAGTGCACACATCCTTCATTCCTCCCACAATTCATCAACAACAACTTGTATTTATATAGTGCTGTTCACACAGGGTAGCATCCCAGAACGCTTAAGTTCTATAGTCGAATGCCTAAATTTTAAATCTCTTCCTTTGTCAGAGAAATGGAATTCTATCTCTGTTGCAATCTTTTTATATTTATTTTTAACAATAATATTATGATCTTTTCCTGATGTTTCTTTTGTGATTCCAGTTAAGCTTCACCAGCACTCCCCCCACCCCCGCCTGCACAGTACACTAGGCTCAAAAAGATACTGTTCACTAGTATTAGCTAACGTTTTGTTCCCGACTTGTGATGGGATTTTTTTGATACTTTAGTCGATGTTGGGAAAGGAGATAAGAATGAACTTACTTTCTCATAGTGTTAAAGCACTTTGAAACTTCTCGAAATAATTCAATTGCTGTCAAGTATATGACTCTTTTGGTAGATAACTGGTCGGATGGTCCGAGCTGGACAAGCAATGGGAATCCTGCAAACATTGTTCAAAATGTAAATGTTTGAGCTCCAATAGTACTTCAATAGTACTTCAATGCATTCTGGTGTCCCCAAGCCTGGGTATGTTCTTGTCAACCTTATTAATAGTCTCCAGAATTAGGTAAGCTAGGTGTGTCTCTCAAGGTAGCTTGTGCACATTCCATTCCTGACATAGGGAAATTTCCATATATAACATATATAACATAACGTAGGAGCAGGAGTAGGCCATTCGGCCCTTCGAGCCTGCCCCACCATTCAATCATGGCTGATCTTCTAATCTAACTCCAGCTAATAACATAACCCTGCCTTATCCCCATATCCCTTAATCCCTTTTGCAATAAGAAATCTATCTATCTCAGTCTTGAATATGTTCAAGGACTGAGCATCAACAGCCCTTTGGGGTAGTGAGTTCCATACATTCACCACCCTTTGAGTGAAGAAGTTCTTCCTCAACTGAGTGCGAAAGGGCTGGCCTCTAATTTTAAGGTTGTGACCCCTGGTTTTAGTTTCTCCAACCAGAGGAAACAATCTCCCACTATCTACTCTATCATGCCCTTTGATGATCTTATAAGTTTCTATAAGATCCCCTCTAATTCTTCTATATTCTCGAGAATAGAGGCCCAAATTGGTCAGCCTATCCTCGTAACTCATCCTCTTCATCCCTGGTACTAACCTCGTAAATCTACACTGCATCCCCTCCAAGGCAAGTACATCCTTCCTTAAATAAGGAGACCAAAACTGCACAGTATTCCAGGTGTGGTCTCACCAGGGCCCTATACAGTTGCAGCAAGACTTCCCTACTCTTATACTCTAATCTTTTCATAATGAATGCTAACATACCGTTTGCCTTCCTAATTGCTGCTGCACCTGCAGACTAACTTTCTGTGATTGGTGTACAAGGACACCCAAGTCCCTCTGGAGCTAACACATTCCAATCTCTCCCCTTCTAAAAAAAATAACCCGCTCTACTGTTTTTGCTACCTAGGTGGATTCCCTACATTATACTTCATCTGCCACCTACCTGCCCAATCACCTAACCTATCTATGTCTCGCTGCATTTTTTGAATGTCATCCTTTGCGTTGACACTTCCTCCTAGTTCTTCCTCCTAATTTTACGTCATCCGCGAATTTAGATATATTAACTTTGATGTCCTCATCTAGATCGTTGATGTAGATGGTAAATAGCTGAGGCCCAAGGACTGATCCTTGTGGCACTCCACTAGTCACATCCCGCCAATCTGAAAAGGACCCGTTTATCCCTACTCTTTGTTTCCTACCCGTTAACCATTCCCCAATCCACGTTAATATGCTCCCCCCAATTCCATGGGCCCTTATCTTTTGGACTAACCTTTTATGCGGCACCTTATCGAATGCCTTCTGGAAGTCCAAATAGACCACATCCACTGATTCACCCTTATCTAGTTTACTCGAAATATCCTCAAAAAACTCTTATGAGATTTGTCAAACATGACTTCCCTTTTGTAAAGCCATGTTGACTTGGCCTAATTATATTGTGCTCTCCTCAATACTGCACGACCACATCCTTAATCAGTGATTCTAAAAATTTTCCTATCACTGATGTGAGACTAACTCGCCTATAGTTCCCCATCTTTTCCTTTCCTTTTTTAAATAGTGGTGTGACATTTGCGATCTTCCAATACATGTGGACTGTTCCAGAATCCAAGAAATTTTGGAAGATCAGACACAAGACCTACACTATCTCATAAGCTACCTCTTTTAAAACCCTGGGATGCAAGCCATCCGGACCAGGGGATTTGTCACTTTTTAGTGCTAACAGTTTCCCTAGCACCAATTCTCTACTAATGAAAATTTCTCTAAGTTGCTCCCTGTCCTTATCCCCTTGGTGCATCTCTATTGTTGGCAGACTTGTTGTGTCTTCTAGTGTCACAGGATCGTTACGACTACCTGATCAGACATGACGTCAGTTTAACGACTTGTCCGAATGCTAGCTGAATGGTGGTGTCTCAGACAATATAGTGGTCCCCACTGGAGGTGTCAGACTAGATTCAGCTCAAGACACAGCATGTGGGTGACCCAGAGGCAAGAATGCCACTACTGAGCTAAACAGTAATACAGTAAAACTCACAAAAGTCGTAAGCAGTCGGGACCATAGCATTCAATTTCACTTAACCAAAGTCCAAGTTGCAGGAAAACTGTATAAATCATAGAAAACCCCATTTAATCAATTATCTACACTGCACGTACTTTAATATAGCCAGTAAGTACGCATGCAGTAGTTTGTCGCTGAGGCCGGTAAGTTTGCATGAGGTGATTCATGCAACCAACCGGTAAGTGCACATGCGTCAATGGGTCAGGATATAATTTCTCTCGATTCAAGTGCGGGAGTAATGGAGGATAGGGGAGGGGTGTTACAAGTAATCAGTTGATTAATATGAGTGGTGCAAAGAAATCAAAGTGATTTTGATATGAAACTGAATGTGCCTCGGGTGAATGTACGACTTAGGCGAGTATACAATTTATAAAGATAAGACTTATGCGAGCTTTACTGTAGTATATTGTCACTATGTGACAGTAGTGATAGCCTACTTGACAGCCAAGGGAAAACAGAAATCTAATCCTTCTTTGGAGGCAGAATTTTCGCACCTGAGGAAAATGGTGGCATGGGAGTACAGAATATTTCTCCATTTCCCAAATTTGCATCCTAAATTGGTGGACTGAAATTGGTATAAATATGTTAAGGTATAAATATGTTAAAGTGCCATTAACTAATATCTGCCTGACTTCAATGTTAGTCAGATTTACAATCTGTATGTTCGATTGTCTAGAAATAGTATGCTGCTACTTAGGAAAATATAACAATGCTGTGTACTACTAGCAAAATGTGTTGAGCATAAACAAGGGCAGGGCACAATTTTGTAAATTTTACACAACAACAACTTGCATTCATATAGCGCCCCTCACACAAAGTACTGAAGTAAGAAACCCTTGAAATGCAAACTATGGAAATTCATCTTTGCTTAACAACAAAATACTGCTTCCCCCAGCACTGGGCTGGAGTGTAAATCTGGACTAGGAGCTCAAAGTCCCAATGAACTCACAGACTTCAGATCCATAAGCAAGAGTGCTAACAACTCTAAGCTGCCTAATTTGTAGTGTGTGTTCAGAATGGGATTTTCCATGGCTACTAGTAAAATGATTAGCTCTCTAATAGCAATAGTGAAAAGCAGACTTTCAACCTTCTTCCTTATCTGGAGGTGGCCAGTTCTAGCCGAAGGTAGAATAAACGGGTCATTTCCCCTTTATGATACCAGTGTTACTGTTGGAGTAAGTTCCTTGTTAGAGGAAAGTCTTAGAATCATAATAATAATCCTTATCACATTGTTGAAACATCTCAAAGCGCTTCACAGAATATATTGTAAAGTGGATTGGCTGTGTATTTTGTGGGTAATACGTGTAAGTAAATCATTACTGTGAGCCTGGACTCGTACTGTATAGTGTCTCTCTCCTCACCATCATTTGACTGGTATGTAAAAGTAGAAATTGGTTAGAATCAGGGGACATCACTTCTTTTGAAAAGAAGAGATTAAGAGATAATTACTTTGTGCATATGGGCCCCTACCATTCTCCTAAGTGGACATGGTGTATTCTAGTCATGATAATAATGATGGAATTAATGATGGAATATTCCAAATTCATCCTTGAAATGAAAGCCCAGTTACCATAACAAAAATGTAAACTTAATGTTGGTAATATCTTATGAATAATACCCCAGGATGGAAAGAATGTTTTCAGTATATTCTGTATGCTTAATCTGAAGAAATACTGTGTAGCAAAAGATCATTAACATCAATGTCTTCATATCCCACAGCTTCGATTCTTGCTTTAAGTAATACACAAAATGAGAATAACAGAAGCAAGTATTTTAAAGTAAGTAGATAAAAAGTGGAAAGTTCTTTTTCTTTGTTTTAAAATGTTCTGAAGAATAAAAACTCAAATAAGTCTGATCTGTATAAATCGTATAATTGCCTAAGTCATACATGTGCTCAAGTCCCATTCAAGAATTTATATTCTATGCGAGTTTGACTTAACTCATAATTTGCATAAGTCGTATTAAATGTATGGCCCAAACTGATATGACTTATGTGAGGTTTACTGTACTTTTGATCTATTTTGCTGTGATCAGAGGGTAGGCAGATAACCTGGCCTCAGATCTCCAGCAAAGCTACTGTTAAACAGGTGCCCTTTAACAAAGAAAACCTCCACTGTTTCCCTTGTCCCGTGGTGAACAGTATCTCTGCTCAGTGTTTGTCTCTGTTCACAATGAAAATCTCTCCCTGGGAGGAATTGTGTCTGCCACTGGACTGTGTGTGATAAGCTGTGAGTTTTAATAGGGAACTGATGTTACTATCCCATTTTAAATAGTACAGTAGGTCTAAGTTTGATGATGAATTTATGTTCAATGGACACTACAAAACATTTTGCAGCAGTGGAAATGTATGTTAGGAAGGATTTAAGAGATACAGTTTGATTCCTCTTAGAAACATAGGAGCAGAAATAAGCTTCCATCTCTCTTTATACCCCTTTACTTCCCAAGTAACTATGTTATTTTAAAATTCCCAATCGATTCTACAACCTTAAGGGATAATGCACCTATATTCTCACATCTCAACAACGTGATTGTCGAATGATTCTACAGATTATTTAACACAAAGTAAAAACTAAAGCCAATAACTAGTATATTATTTTTTTAAGAAAAAAACACAGATATTGAGTAACTTTCCAAGTTTCACCTTAAGTTAAATGTTGCTTTCTTGTAACTTCTTCAGTGTTTCTCAGTTAATTAATCATTGTTCCCGTTATAAAACTTATGCTGTGTCACTTTGGCAGGTTCTTGATAGATTTTGCACTGTAGTATTTTGTGTCAGCAGGTGCCTCCTGCTATCGTTTGGATTGAGAACTCTTTGTCATCCACCATTCCAAAGTCACTTACTTATACCAGTGTGTTTGTGGGGAAAAAAAAGTTTTTTCTGTTGCAAAACAGAATTTTTAAAACTTATTTTCCTACTGCTAAAGAAAAAGTAATTCCATGACTCTTGATGACAAGGAGGGAAAATTTTAAATGATAAAATAAACCACTGATAGATTTTTTTTTCTCTTGTGTCACAAGGCACACAGCACTCCTTGTTTCTGTGTTTGGTGTATTCTTTTTTTGAAAATAGGCATTGAATAGGGACAGTTAGCAAAGAAACATAAGAAACAATAAGACCATAAGATGTAGGAGCAGGAGTAGACCATTCGGCCCCTCGAGCCTGCCCCGCCATTTAATAAGATCATGGCTGATCTTCTAACCTAATTCCATTTACCCGCCTTATCCCCATATCCCTTAATCCCTCTATCCTTTGGAAATCTATCAACCTCAGTCTTGAATATGTTATCCACAGCCTTCTGGGGTAGAGAATTCCACAAGTTCACTGAGTGAAGAAATGTTTCCTCTACTCAGTTCGAAAAGGCTGACCCTTAATCTTGAGGCTATGAACCCTAGTTTTAGATTCTCCAATCAGGGGAAACAGTCTCACGGCATCTCCCCTGTCAGGACCCTTAAGAATCTTATAGGTTTCTATAAGATCAAGTCTTAATTCTTCTATATTCTAGAGAATATAGGCCTAGTTTACTCAACCTATCCTCATAGGTCAAACTGCTCATCCCAGTAACCAGCCTAGGGAATTTATGTTCTAAGGCGAGTATGTCCTTTCTTAAATAAGGAGACCAAAACTGCACACAATATTCTAGGTGCGGTCTCACCAAGGCCCCATACAACTGCAGCAAGACTTCCCTATTCTTGTACTCTAACCCTTTTGCAACGAACGCTAACATGGCATTAGCCTTCCTAGTTACTTGCTGTACCTGGATACTAACTTTTGGTGACTGGTGTACAAAGACTTCACACTTCCCCACGTTATACTCCATCGGCCACCTTCTTGCTCACTCACCTAGCCTGTCTATTTCCCTTTGCATTTTTCGTGTGCCATCCTCACATCTTACTCTCCCACCTATCCTTGTATCGTCCGCGAATTTAGATATATTAAGTTCTATTTCCTCATCTAAATCATTGATATAGACTGTAAATAATTGAGGCCCAAGCACTGATCCTTGTGGCACTCCACTAGTCACATTCTGCCAATCTGAAAACGCTGTTTTTCCCTACTCTCTGTTTTCGTCCTATTAGCCACTCTCCAATCCATGCTAATATATTGCCTTTAATTCCATGTGCTCTAATCTTATGCAACAGCCTTTTATGTGGCACATTGTCAAATGCCTTCTGGAAATCCAAATATACTACATCTACTGGTTCCCCCTTATCTAACCTGCTAGTTACATCCTCAAAAAACTCGATAAGATTTGTTAAACATGATTTCTCTTTCGTAAAGCCATGTTGACTCTGCCTAATCATGTTATGATTTTCTATGTTCCCCACGACGACGTCACTAATTAAGGACTCTAGAATTTTCCCTACCACCGATGTCAGACTAACTGATCTATAATTCCCCACTTTTTGTCTCCCACCCTTTTTAAATATCGGGGTTATGTTTGCGACCTTCCAATCACTGGGAACCATTCCAGAATCCAGGGAATTTTGGAAGATCAAAAACAATGCATCCACTATCTCTGCAGCCGCCTCTTTTAAATCCCTAGGATGCAGGCCATCAAGTCCAGGAGATTTATCGGTTTTTAACCCTTTCAATTTTTCTAGTATATTGCTTTACTGATGTTCATTTCTTTAAGTTCCTCACTAACATTAGCCTCCAGGTTCCCCTCTATTTTCGGTAAGTTTTCAGTGTCCTCTAACGTGAAGACAGAAGTAAAATAATTGTTTAATGACTCTGCCATTTCTTTATTCCCCATTATAATTTTTCCTGTCTCTGACTGCAATAGACCCACATTCACTTTTGATAGTAATGTGGAAGTTAGGAAGTCTGATGGTAAACAGGCAGCTCTGCAATTGCGTTTATATCTTGCTCTTTTTATACACTTCAAACGCAAATTGGTTGATTCAAAAGACCATCCTTGTTTCTTTCACAACTAATGTGACACTTTTTTAAATGTTCAGCTTTGGTAAAAGATTCTAAAAGCAAACCAATTTGTTGTCTCAAGTTCTAGCATTTTGCTTGTCTGTTTTGGAGCACTGGAGATTCAGACCAATTTGCCGCCTCAGAATTAGCATAAATTATCTGGCAGTAAATGACCGGTTTTAGAACAAGTCAATGCAAAATTGACCATCCCAGTCTAGACTGATCCATGTGACAAGCATGGGTCGTAGACTTCACAGATAGTTATGTTTGAATGGTCGTGCTGCTTTTTACACGGGAGAATGAGACTGTCTGATAGACAGACTTTATTGCTGTTTTAAATGTGTGACTCGACTTCTGCATGCCTCATTAACTCGTAACATTAGATGTCAATAACTTCTATAAAAAGGGTGTCAAACTCTGCAGCCCTTCTGCTGTAGACTGTTGAGAACAGAGTTTCCTGCAATTTACCAGCAGGAGCTCCTAATGTCGTGGTTTGCTTTAACTGAGCATGTTTAAGAAAAGTCAGAAGAAAAATGTAAATCGTCTGAATAGCCTGATTTAATTGAAAGAATTTGGACTGAATTTGCTGCTGCTTCTGTTTGTTGTTTTAAAGATGGGAAACTCATATGCAGGGCAACTGAAGACAACACGTTTTGAAGAAGTTCTGCACAATTCCATTGAAGCCTCTCTGCGATCTAACAACTTAATCCCCAGGCCTGTCTTTTCTCAGTTATATCTGGAGGCTGAGCAACAACTGACTTCTAATTTGGAAGGTAAAGCATCAGATTTTATTTCTTGTACTTGGTTGAGATCTTCTTAAGTATTGCAAGTTTAACTTTGTGAACATCCCAAACTTTTTTTAAACAAAGGCAAACTTTTCTGCTGAAACTTCAATAGGATTTACAGAGCTATCAGATAACACTAGGATTCTTGCATTGATGGGAAAACCTTGTTTAAAATGTGCTTTGCACATTTATTGCTCTTCTATTGCTGGTTGGTGCAATTTTCTCTCAGTAGATGTGAATCTTTCAACTAAGGAGTATTGCCCGCAAGGGTGCTGTTTGTTAATATAAGTAATAGTGAGTAATACTTAGCAGTGGAAAAGCAGCATTAATTATTCAGGAAATTGGTACCAGAATTACAATGTTTCTATATCTTTTTAGATAATTATTAAACTTTTGAAGGCGTGTAAAGTGTTTAAGGTACAAAGACATTATAAAATGTGACCAAAAAGTTACAATACCATTACAATGTCTCATAAATCTGAAAGAAATTGTGATATATTTGTTTGTTTTTAGTTAATAGGGTAGGTATCATGACGTTTTGGTCAACCATGTATCTTGTCTCATGTCTACACATCATTAAACGTTTCAAAGTTCTTTACAAAGGTGGGGATGGAGGCAACCAAAGGAGAGAGGTTTTTAAAAGGATTTTCAAATTCGATAGGGAGGGGACGAGGCAGAGGGATTTAGGGACAAAGTTGAAGAGCATGAGGCCAAGGTGGCTGAAGTCTCACTCACCGATAAAGAGATGGGAGATATGGAGCAGACCAGAATTGGTAGAACAGAAGGAGTAAACGGGATAGTAGGACCTAATAAGTAATATTATAATAATCCTTGCATTTGATATAGCGCCTTATCAAGTCGTTGAGGCGTCTCAAAGAGCTTCACAGAATGTACTGTGAAGTGAATTAATTTCCATCTTGTCTTTCCGTGCTTTCCTCTTTGAATAGAATTGTCAAGCCTACAGTCATCTCTGCAGACTCCTATCAATATGGTTTCCGAATCCCATGGTTCAACTTCAGGATCCATGTCCCGACATTTACATCCTTCCACCCCCCCTCTCGCATTACCACTGAAACCTCCATTGTCTTGCTCTTGTTCTCCGCTCTTCCATCCCTTAACTATTGTTAATTTCTTACTTGTCCTTCCATTGATGGCTAAGCCATGTCATCTTTGTTCAGTTGGCAGTTCTCTTGCTTCTGAGTCAGAAGGTTTTGGAATTGGGCTGCAGGTTTGGACTTGGGATGTCGGGAGTGCTACATTGTAGGGGGTGCCGTTGTTGAGATGAGATTTTAAACTAAAGTCCTGTCTGCGTGTTCAAATGGTCATTAAAGATCCAGTGGTGCTAATCGAAAACAGAAAAAAATTTCTCCCAGCGTCCTGGCCAACAATTGTCCAGATAAAATTGATTATTCCTTTCATGGCTGTTTGTAGGATATTGCTGTGCACAAATTGCCTGCCTTGTTCACCTACAAAATACCGTCACTACAGGTTACAGTAAATCCTGTGGAGTGCTTTGACATGCCTTCCTGACATAAAAGGCATTGTATCAAATGCAAGGATTATTCATTTATTTCTATTATTTAGCATGTTCAAAGTTAGGAATACTGTGAGAGAAATAATTTATATTAGAATCTGAAACAATGGCATCAACTGAGAGAATCACATAATTGACAACATAAAGTTAACAAGTGTACATTTGTAAAAGATTTAACAAAGTGTGGAATAGGTAGTCGCATTGAATGGAGTGATTCTGGCCCAGTAACACAGAGTCTTCTACACAATGCAGCTTGCAGGAGACCAGAGAATGAAGAGGAAGAAGAAGAGGATGGATCGGAGTCGAGCAGCCCTCTCATTCCGTATCAGATGAAACCTCCCCCAGAAGGCTGCTGCACCACTGATGGCAAGTAGACAATGCTTTCATTTAAAAGATAGGATAAGCCTGTTATTAGCCCTCAGTTTGGTCAGAAGCTTGTAGTTACAAACTCCCAGGTCAGCACTCTGAGCTCACAGTCTTGGCTGACTTTCCAATGTGGTGCCAGGGGATTGTAACAGTGAATGAAAGGCCGTTCTTTGTATGAAACTCTAAACCAAGGTCCCATTTGCCTGTTTGGGTGGATGATCCTATGGCATTGTTAAAAAAAAAACTTATCCCAGTGTCCTGGCTACCAATCTTCCAGATAAGTTGATCATTAACTTCATGGCTGTTTGTGAGACATTATTGTGCACAAATTGTCTGCTGCGTTTGACCAATAATGCAGTCTGTGCTTGACTGCAAGTGCCCCTGAAGCGCTTTGGGACGTTTTGACATTATATATCAAATCCATGGATTATTCATATTATTATTATTATTTGAATAACAATAGAATTCGGTGCTATTGAGTGTCATTTTATTAACTGCAGATCTCAAATTTGACCTTTGAATAAGGTTTGATTCAGTTAGGGGGTGGTAGGAACCAATCTGAACAAGGAATAAATTAGCATTTACAGGTTGTAATAAGAATAATAAGAATAATAATCCTTGCATTTGATGTAGCATCTTATCACGTCATTCAAACGCCTCAAAGCATTTCACAGAATATATTGTAAAATGGATTAATTGTATGTTGGTTTATTTCTCCCTTTGTTACGGCAGATGATGAAGATGATGCAACTAAAAGGCAGATGCCTTTTAGTTGCATCATCTCTGGATATGACTTCCTTTTCTCATATCACCTGTGTTTTGGATTTTTCTTTCCTGTCCCGATACTGGCCCCAGTAACAAGGCATTTTTTGGTTGATGCACAAGCTAAAGCCATACGCCTAATAATAATCCCTCCAAAACCAAAAACAATAATAAATTGGTCATTTTTAATCCATGTGACTGTTTGTGGGACATTGCTGTGCGCAATTGGCTGCCGCGTTCGCCCACAAATATACAGTCAATTCACTTTACAGTGTGTTCTGTGAAGCGCTTTGGGAGTCCTTCCGACATGAAGAGCGCTATATCAAATGCAAGGATTATTATTTTTTATTATTATCCATATCATATACAAGGAGAACAAAAAGTGATACCAATACAATGTCTAAAAAGTCTTAAAATATTTTTTTTTATATAATAGGGTAGATACCACAACTTTTTATATTGGGTAATATAACAACTTTTTACGCTTTATCCAAATAATAAATGTTTCAAATGCATAGAGCATTTCTTGAGGGCATTGGGACTCGGGATGGAGGGAGAGAGCATTGGGACTTGGTGTGGAAAGGCAGATGGAATCTGGGAAGGATAAAGTGGGGGTTGGAAAGTGGGAGGGCAGACAGAATCAATCCAAGATCAAGTCATCAGTGGATCTGGGAAGGGAAGTGGACTGCGAATATTTATCTTGATTTGCAAATGCCCTCCCTCCCTCCTTCCCTCCCTTGTGTGATGTAATGCTCTTGACCTAAAAGACTCTCCTGTTTGCGGTACTATGTCAGAAAAGAAGTACAAGTTGAATGCCCTGGTGGTTAATATGCCCTTACCTCAGTCATGGTATGATCATTCAGTGGCATTGATGTTTCATCAGGACCTTCCTGTAGCTCAGTCGTTAGAGCACTCACCTTGCAAGCGAGACACCTGGGTTCAATTCCAGGCAGGGTGAAACCTTGGGCAAGTTTCCTTACTCCACACGCCTAATAATAATCCCTCCAAAAAACAAAAACAATAATAAATTGGTGTGACACTGCTGTGCGCAATTGGCTGCCGTGTTTCGCCCACAAATATTACAGTCAGTTCACTTTACAGCATATTCTGTGAAGCGCTTTGAGACTTCTAGAAGATGTGAAAAGCGCTATATCAAATGCAAGAATTATTATTTCTCCTCAAGGTTATGTAAACTTTATTTGACACAAGTATTTAATATCACTGTATAATTTTCAGTTTTGTTTGCCCCAATCTCTAGTGTTGTTCTTTTTTTAATGTTGGGGTAACTATGAAAGCCAACACCAGATACTCTGTGGGCAGCAAAAAAGTGTCAAACTCAGTCAGCCCTTTCTCTCTCCTGTAAAGCTCTGATTTGAGGGCCCCATGTTGCAGGTAGCCAGGTGGTTGGTGAAGTGCATCAACTGTAGCTATTTGTTGGCATGATAAGAAGCACCAGAAAATGGTAAAGACCATTTCTTAAGGCTTGTTATGATTAATGTGAAGTAGTTATAGGCAGTTAGCGCAGTTAGCTCTCCCTATCTGGAAATTAGCAACGAAGCAGCCCACAGAATTTTATCAAGTATTCTTTGAATTTGGCCAAAAGCACAGGTCTGCAGTTTGATAATGTCACAATGGCCTCCCCAATGCCTTTTGGACAGACGGCTCCTCCAACACTCCCGCTTCTAAATAGTGCTTGCTGCTTTGAGAGTGTGGCCTTTGGTATGTGGAGGAGAAAGATACATCACTCACTGTAAGTTTGGAATGAAAGTTTCTCCACATAATAACTTCCTCCTTGTCCACATTGTGGCTGTGTTCCCAGAGCTGAATTAGGAGTTTTTCTGATCTCGAAGCTTGTGTTGTTTCTGGTTCCTTTGCCTCATTTATATATATATCTATATATATATATAAAAAAACTCCCTTTACAACTTGCTGCCCTTGAGAATAATTAAATGAATGAATATTCTTTTAGCTGTATAGCCCTATACTGACGGATTTTTGTGTTTATTTTCTTAGGTTTTTGCCAAGCAGGAAAGGACTTGCGACTTGCTTCTGTATCAAATGCACAGATTGAGGTGCCAATGGGATTCTTGCTCATTGGTGCCAAGTCTCCTAATCTTACTGAGCACCTTTTAGTTTGTGCGGTGGATAAACGCTTTCTTCCAGATGATAATGGCCGAAACGCTTTGCTGGGTAGGATCATTTTTTACATCATATTTAAACTACATTTCTTTCAAACATCCTACTTGAGCAACATCAAGCTTGTGATCTCTAATGCTTTCTTCCTATTATCATGATGGCTCAGCTTGGCTTTGAGAATGATCAGGGTGGGAGTCACTCATTCATGCTTATGTAGCCAAATATTGAAATTTTTAAAAAAACAAGATAATTTCTGTGGAGGTTTTCAGATGTTGGTGTACAGCAGAGAGCCGATTATCCACACTGATTGGGATAATTGTAGATAAGCAAACAGTGCTGATAATAGGTAGGTTATCATGCAAGCTACAAATTGGTTACATTGCTTACCAAAAATATTTTGGTAAACCACTTATTGATGGTCCAAATGATGCTGTCTACAATGAGTAGATCCCATGATTCCAAGATCAGCCATGACCTAACAGAATGGTGGAACAGGCTTGAGGGGCTAAATGGCCCACTCCGGTTCCTATGTTCCTGACCATTCTCTGTGGTATATTTTCTGTAAACCACTAGTCCCTAATATATGTGGAGAATTACACAAATCAGCATAGCTGGTGAAACTGGTAACTTTTCAGGACCAATACAAAAAAGTGTATCATGGTGTATTATATTGTTCCTTTATTAGGGAGAAAGTATGATTAATTATTTAAATCAAAGGTTCACAGATAAGGGTAGTCAGTTAAAAGGTTCGAACATTAATCATGTGTATGTGTGGGGGGGTGGGGAGGGGGCGCATCGGAATTCAATTCAACTGACACGGACTTGGAAAAAGTGAGCCGTGAGTCTTTCTCTAAGTGCTGATACAGAATTATATTTTTATGTAGTTTGTAAAAAGGCCACAGTCTGAGATTAATCTTAGCAATGGCTCACTATAGAAAGTGAGAAAGAGCTAGTATTTTTATATCCTTATCACACCAAAACATCACAATACCATTCAGTAATCATGACAAGTGAAGCGACTATTTTTTGAATCAAACACAACACTTATTTGAAAAATAAAAACAGAAGTTGCTGGGAACACTTAGCAGGTCAGGCAGCATCTATGGAGAAAGGAAAGTGAGTCAACGTTTTGGGTCCACGACCCTTCGTCAGAAAAACAGCTATTTTATGGATTTGTCTTAAAAAAATTGTGTCAAACAAATAGCCATCAGGGAAATGATCAGTATACAAGATGTTAACCAGAACCACTGGGGGAAACCTCCTTTCTCTTATTAATTGGCCACTCAGGTCTTGGGCTGGAAAAAATTACCAGTAGGCCGCCTGTTGGACCATGTTTTCTTAGACTATATTAGTTCCAAGTCCCAACGTGGGGCTTGAACCCACAACCTTCTAAATCTGAGTTGAGAGTACTAGCACCTGAACCATTCGAACACACACACTGTGGAAGGATAAGAAGTGGAAGATTATTCGCTGAAGTTTAGCAAATCGGAAATGAGGGCTCAAGCTCACATTATACCTGGAAGGTACCAAAACTTTGAAGGCAGTGTAGTATGGGATGACTGGCCCCAAGTAACATTTAAAAGAGAATTGTACAAACATTTGAGGAGGAAATAAATGAAAGGGTATGAGGAAAGAGTAGGAGATTGGCGTTAGAATGCTTCGCTCCCAGTGAATTAATCTAGCACCAATTTAAGGCTGCATTTGTGCGATTGGGCTGCTCAAGCAGTAACAGTTTGCCTAATTTTAACCCTGAATCTCTAATGCAGCCTTTGCTTTGAGTTCTTACTTTAGACAATTGCTGCTGCCATGAGGTACATTAATTTGACTTCCAACTGCTTAGCGTAGACCTGTAATACAAGTTTTTCTCTCAAGGCTAATAGCTTTGTTCAGTATCCATGGAAACCAGGCAGAATGAAGCACAGCAATACTTGAAAAAGAATGCTTGTTGGGAGGTTTCACAAATGAACAAGGAAGCATTTATTTGGCCAATTATATGGAAAACGAGTGTTGATGTAAATGTGCCTAAAATTGTGTCATTAATCAAATGCAAAAATCATCAATTTAGATTTTTTAAAAAAAGTTTCACCTTTTGGGTGTTTTGACTAGCCATTTATTTTGTTAATCAAATAATTTAATGAAATATTTCATAAACGGCTTCCAACAGGTAGGTTTCTATACAAATGTCTGTAGTGCAGGCAGCACTGATGTAAGGAGGCTATATTATAGGATCAGTTGTCTTCTGCACAAGTAAGATTCAGGGTATATTTTGTGGATGAAACACGGCAACTGATTGTGCACAGCAAAATCAAAGTAAACTAGGCAATTTCCTGTCCTCCATTATAGTTACTGAACATTTAATTACCAAATAAGTTTTCTGAAACCAAACGGAACTCTAACCAAACCAAACTCTCTATTTGATCTTGTTGATGGTGAAATCGCAAAGATTGTCATTTTACCACCAATGACATCTTGAAGATACAATGGAAAGTCACTGTGCCAGGAATGGCCATGTCAGTGTTGATGAGCTGAGCAGGGTGTACTACATATTTGGAGTCCACCGTCTCCCACTACAACAGAATTATCGTGAACTGATTTTTTTAGGCAGGTTTTAGATGATAATATTAATAAAAATCCTTGCATTTGATATAACACCTTATCATGTCATTTAGATGTCTCAAAGTGCTCCACAGAATATATTGTAAAGTGGATTGAGTGTGTATTTTGTGGGCAAAACGCAGCGACCAATTGCACAAAGCAGTGTCCCACAAATAATCATGGATTGAGTGACCACTTTTTTTTTGAGGGATTATTAATCTGCCAATCAACTAGCAATCGGGTTCCTACTTACTGCTCGGTAAGCAGAGATGTGAAATGTAAAGTAAACATAGAGGATAATGACAATAAATGGACAATCAATAGGTGTGATTTGTGAAGTATAAAAGGACATTGTGGAAACGGCATGGAATGTGGTTATTATCGTAGGTTTGGAGTGTTTCTGCAGATCATACAAATATTTTGCCCCCTGAGACAGGTGAAGGAGGGTCCTTTTTGAGAAAGGGCAGGGGAGGCCACTGCCTTTTGGGGATTGGTTCTCTTCTTGCCCAAAAGAATGGCGGGGCCATCCAATGGCTATTTAGATAATGTTTTAAAGGAAGAAAATGGATTGCGGTCACTCCTCTCTCCCCCCGACTCAGCATCAGGCTCCGCCACTGTTAAGTGCTCTGACATGCTATATAAATGCAAATTGTTGTCATCGTGGGATATGTTTATGCATTTTGGACCATTTTACTGAATAATTCAAATTACCCAAATAAACTAAGTAAACTAAGTAACGCACAACAACTTGCATTTATACAGTGTACTTCATGCAGGGTAGCATGTCAAGTCCTGGAATACACCAGTATTTTGGAGCAGTTTTTATGACAGTAAATGGAGAAAATCTCAAACCCAGGTTGAATTTCTCTCCATTGGCTTGTTTGACTCAAGGGAGACTTATTTAGCATGTGGCTCCCCATTTGGGGAGTGCTTAATGTTGACACTGGGCTAACAAAGAAGAGAAGCTATTCCATTGCTAACACTTAATATTCTTTACTCTGGAGAACCGAATAATCATCACATAAAAAAACTCTCAGACCATTTTACTATATATCATTAATTAATAACATATCGATTCAAGCTTTTGATGTCTATTCACTGGGTTTCTCTTCTGTCTTTCTCTAGGTTTCTCTGGTAACTGTGTTGGTTGTGGAGAAAAAGGATTTCGTTATTTCACTGAGTTTTCCAATCACATCAACCTGAAATTAACCACCCAGCCCAAGAAACAGAAGCACTTAAAGTATTATCTGTTAAGGAATGCACAGGGCTGCCTTGCAAAAGGGCCCTTAATCTGTTGGAAAGGTACAGGTGAGCGATGCATTGAAATATTTATTAAAACAATTTGAAATAGAGTTCTTTCGAGCAGTAAAATTGATGGGAGGTTTGTAGATGAGGGAAATAATTTTATATATACACAAATCGGGAGAATTCTGACATGTGTTACCAAATAAGAGGAATTTCATGTTCATCCATGGATCCACTATGGTAAGATGTTTCAGTGAATATTAAATATAATATATAATAAAAAGACCTGGATAGATCAGACCTTTTATTTTTGCTAGTGAAGAGACGTTTAAGAGAGGCCCTACTAGAGATGTATAGAATTATAAACGGGTTTGATAAGGTTAGCATAAATAAGCTATTTCCATTTTTTGGGGAGTCTGCAATCAGGATACACACATTTAAAAGAGTGACTGAGGGAGCTAAAAGAATTTAGAAGGAACACAGAAGGTAGTGAAATTGTGGAACTGTCTGCCTGAAGCAATGGTTGAAGCAGATGGTAGAGGTGATTTAAGAGAAAGCTAGACATACACATGTGGGAGAAGGGAATAGAAATGTTCGGGAGGGAGTAAAGAATGAGTGGCAACTCACATGGAGTATAAACACTGGCCCAGATTGGTTGGGCCAAATGGCCTGTTCCACCCTGTCGCACTTTTTTTTCCTTCCGCATTTGGGCATAAAGACACCTTGGTTTGTATTGAGCTGTCCAGTATTGAAAAAACAGGCTAAGTCAGAAGTAGAAAGATTCAGGAACGCACTGTGCTGGCAAAGGAAGTGTGACTTCTGATTTTATTAACACTAAATGTTGAAGAAGAGCCAGAATTTCAGCATAGAGAATGGCAGCTTGTTACTTTTAATGTGGCCTGGACAGTAAAACGCCTCCTTATGTGGCTTGCATCGCATTACACCTGTTTACTATGGAACGGGTGTAATGCTATGCTCGATTACGGAAACTCCCTCTTCATCGGCCTTCCCAAATCTTCCCTTCAGAAGCTGCAGATTATCCAAAACTCTGCAGCTCGTGTACTCCATCACTCCCACCCTCGCCCGACTCCACTGGCTCCTCATCCCTCAGAGGATCGAGTTCAAGATCCTTGTCCTCACTTTCAAGTTCATCCATGGCCTTGTCCCCCTTCTACCTCTCTGACCTGTTGACTCTCTACTAACCTGCCCATTTCCTCCGTTCAGCGGGTTCCGGTCTGCTCCATGTCTCCCGCCCGACCTGCCCTACCATCGGTGGCCGGGCTTTCAGCCTTTTTGCCCCCACACTCTGGAACTCCATCCCACGGTCCCTTCAACATTTTCCTCCCTTGCCTCCTTCAAGGCTGGTCTCAAGTCCCTTCTCTTCGATCGTGCCTTTGGTCTCCCTCCCACCTCTCTGCCTTCCCCCACCCCTCCCCCATGCTCGGGCTCCGACACCTGACTGTTCAGCGCTTTGGGACGTCCTCTCTACATGAAAGGCACTCTATAAATGTGATTTTGTTGTTGTTGTTACTGCTCTGTGCAGCATTGCTGTGGTTTGAATTCAGCATTACATTTGTGAATGCATTTCACCTTTGCATGCCAGGAGTTCCAAGAAATTACTTGGCCAAGACTGATAGCCTGTGGTGTCTAACATTAAACCATTTGCTCTTTGTCTAATTGTGCAACATTCAACTCTATATTGTGACTTAATATATAAGAATTGTTAGGATTTCTTTTTTGGTCGTATTTTTGAGATGGCTCAAAGTGCTTCACAGAATATGCTGTAAAGTGAATTGACTATATTTTGTGGGCGAAATGCAGCAGCCAATTGCACACAGCAGTGTTCCACAAACAGTTGTGGATTGAGTGACCTAATTATTTTTTAATATATATAGATTATTTTGAAGGGGTTATTTTGCCCAGAAAAGCGATCTGCCAATCGACTAACAACTGTTCCTACATACTGCTAGGTAACGCTTATGGTCAAAGAGAAAGGCCTTCAGTCGCTTTATGAAAAATACTTTTAACAGTAATCTGATCATGCACACCTGGAGTATTCCATACAGTTTTGGTCACCGAGACGTAAGGGAGTTGTTTAAGCCCCATAGCAATGCCAAGGAAATGATCCTGAGTGTTAGAAGAGGAATGAGTTATGAGCAACGATTAGACAAACTAGGGTTCTTTGTTTCTGCAAAGAGGTGTCTCAGAGGGTACGTTTTAGGAGCAGATCAAATTTTAAATAGGATTGAGAAAGTAAACTCGAAACAATACCTTTAGATGCATCAACACGACAGAACCAGAGGACTCTGGTTTAGAGTTGCAAAGGGCAATTTGTGGGTGCACACCAGGAAGTATTTCTTTACCCAGGAAGAATGGCTGAGGCCAGGACTTGTGCCAAAAACAAATTAACGGAAGGACGATAGGATGAGCATTCTGGAAGGATGAGATCACTTAGGCCAAAGGGCTTTTTTTCATCTGTACCTCTCTTATGGTCTTGTAAATCATTTGAAATAGTCATGTAAAATCTCTATAAACTCAGGTGTAAACAATACATAGGCTTGATGGACTGGTTTGGCTTGTCCCTTTCACACATTGGATACATTTGGCACTGCAGACCGCAAAGGGTACATCTGCCCATTCACCTTTTAAACTTACCAAAGAAAAAGAAATACACATGTTAGCAAATCTGTAAAGCCAGGAAATTGCCCTTACGACAGGAACACAGACTGTATAACCACTTGAAATGGAACATTTTAAAATGTCATCTCTGCCCATAGAATTTCCAGTATAAGAGTGCTTAAAAATACAAACCAAAATAGGATTTAAAAATATTGGAAGCTGCCCTGGCCTGAACTCTTCTTCGGTTTGGGAAGCCAGCTACAGATGTAACAAACCCTGAAATATAGTGTTTGAGGATTTCTTTAAGTTTCTGTTTTTTGCCTTGGACACGAATGAGGATGTCCATGCTGAGAAATGAAACATATTTTCCACTTTGACACTTGGCAGGAGTGAAGTTCTCCCAGGTCAAGCGTAGCACACACCAGCTGCAGAGGCAGGAAGTTTTCATCCATTCTATTGTCTGAGCTAGATTCAAACCCAGATCCCAGGGTTGAAAAGCCCCAGCGTTCATCGTTTCTTGATGAAGGTGTTAATTCATCCTGCAATAATTCCTTCAGGAATAGTTTCTTCCACAAAATATACAGTCAATTCACTTTACAGTATATTCTGTGAATATATTGAGATGTCTTAATGACGTGGTAAGGATTATTATCAGTATTAGTTTCTTGACACACTTTTGCAAAGCACACAAATCAACTGATCCAGAATAGTTTGTCGGAGGCTTTAACATCCGCGATAAAAAGAAAATAATAAATAATAATACATGCATTTATTGGAGCACCTTATCATGTCACTAAAATGTTACAAAAACTCTTGACGGAGTTTCCGGTAAGGTATAGTGACTGTGTATTTGTTGGCCTTCTTACAGCTAAAGGAATATAGACGAAAAGCCCAAAAGTCAACAAATGTAGTAACAAAAAAGTTTAGAAATATTATATTTAAATATTTTCACGAAAAAATGAACCGGGGGAAAATGTATTTTATCAGATGTTGAAATGCTAGCAGTGTAAATTGTTCCTATAATAATAATCCTTGCATTTGATATAGTGCCTTATCACATCTTTGAGTTGTCTCAAAGCACTTCAGAGAATACACTGTAAAGTAAATTGACTGTATATTTTGAGGGCAAAACGCAGCAGCCAATTGCGCACGGCAGTGTCCCACAAACAGTTGTGGATTGAAGTGACCAATTTATTATTATTAAGTAAGGTTGGGTTGTTCAAAATCCCTATTTTTCTTTGGCAGAGGGCAGAGCCCAGCAGTCAGCCTCCAGCTCGAGCTCCAGTGTTCCCTCACAGTCTCCTGAGAGCCCAGCCTCCTCCACCACCGCAGCATCTGCAGAAACCACTTCTGGAACTAGCCAGAATCCATCAACTGCACTTCAGCCAACAGGTGCTTACGACTCTGTTTACCATGTGCTCTTGTTCCTTTCAGTAGAAATATACGACACAGTAGGACGCCATTAAGTCCCTTTTTTTATGTTGTTTAGCATCCATCTTAATCCCAATTCTCTGCTCTTTTCCTGTACTTTCTAGTATCCTCCCTCTGCACATGCATGCCCAATTGTGTTTTAAATCTCCCAATAAATTCAAAATGTAGTAGTGCAGTGTGGCGATATTGTGAATTGGAAGGCGGTGGTGTAGTGGAGGGTTAGTGTGTGTCTGTGTAGGTGATAGTGTTGTGGAGGTTTAGTGTATATCTGTGAAAATAATAATAATAATAACCCTTGCATTTGATATAGCACCTTATCACATCTTCTAGACATCTCAAAGTGCTTCACAGAATATATTGTCAAGTGAATTGACTGTTTTTTGGGTGAAACGCTACAGCCAATTGTGCACAGTAGTGTCCTACAAACAGTCGTGGATTAAAAGTGGTTGACAGAGGGTTAGTTTGTGTGCATTTGGTTGGGTAGAAATGGCATACAGAGATTTTATGTGTGAATAAGAAATCCATGAAATACATATTTTAAAGATAGGAGAGCCTTTTTAGTTGATCGGTGAAATATACAATTTTACATTCAGAGAGGTAAATGCCTTTCTCTCCCCAATATATTCCATCTTGGTGACAAGACACGTTATGACTTCCTAGTGCATTTTCAACTCTGTTGTTTTGTGCTGACACACAAACAGCAGGAAATCATTACCAGTCTGAATATAATAATAATAATAATCCTTGCATTTGATATAGCGCTTTTCACATCTTCTCGACGTTTCAAAGCGCTTCACAGAATACACTGTAAAGTGAATTGACTGTATATTTGTGGGCGAATAAAGTAGCTTTATATGTGCATTGCTGCTATTGAGGTAGCAGTGAATTCAGCCCACAATTTGCACTTGCAGCATTTAGAAGATACTGCAAATGCAAATATATAAACCACTTGGGATTTGCTGTTCTTACACTGTAGTAGTAATAATAATAATATTTAATATAGTGCCTTATGTCATTGAGATGTTCAAAGCACTTCACAGAATATATTATAAAGTGGATTGGACTGTGTATATGTGTGCAAATGCCCTATATATGGCCTTGTGTCACAGTGGCATCCACATAGTATTATATTGTCCATCACAGTGATATGTTTCTATTGCCTTCGGAGGTTTGTGAGCCTTAAAGTATGTGGCAAGAAGAGGGAAATGTTTATAGAATCTCAGTGATAAATTTACCCTTCTTATTGCTGTTTTATTGTGCAAGAAGGATTTGTATGTCTTAAGTTAAAATGCATAAATGAAATGGCTTTTATAAAAAAAAGTAATTTATGATGAAATATAAGAGTTTTCAAACACGAAAGGATCCGCAATTAGTGCGAATGCAGAAGACAGTATTGGTGACAGGATTATGTTGGGGAGGAGCTCATTGACTGAAAAAATCTTACTGCAGGCACATTTTTGTTTGCCAGCTCAGTAAAATGGCAAGCAAGCGACTACGTCTGTGTAATGAGCCCTTTTGAAAGCTACATGCAAAATTCTGTTTTGTTGTCTTAATACAATCCCTGACAGAATTTGTTTGTCATTGCAGGTGTACCGACAGATCAGCTGCTCCCCCGAACTTCAACGGAAGTTTGTGTAGCTCACAACAGTAGAGACCCATCCAGACATCAAAACACAATGAAGACCAACAACTTGTCTGCTCAGAGTGTGTCAAGGCCTTCGGTGATAGGTACTGTAATTGTGTCTGGGCATTATCTGTGGTTACACCCATCAGGATTCATGGCTCATTTAGGACAACATATTCATTCTCTTAACAGCTTCAGGAAGCAGTTGTAAATTTTACTGCATACATTGCTTTATATGTCAGTGACAAAGAATGGGGTTCTATCTCGTCTTCGCACACCTCCTTGTCATGTTACTTAAAAATGTCTCTTGACTGTCAAGTGTCATTCAGTTGGGAGTCTTGTTTGGAAATGTTTAAACTTAAATTGTCTGTAACACAAGCTAATTAATTCTTTGACTATTGCAAGATGCCTTTAATTACCAAATGGCACTGAAACTGAGCATGAATTTTGTTTTCCAGACTTTAGAGATTTAGTAAAAAAAAGTTAAATCCTTGAAGTGCAAGGCACGGAAGTTGTGCTCAGCATGTGGACTTTAAAAAAATCATAATAATCCTTGAATTTGACCGAGCATTTTTCCTTTACATGACTTCCTGTTCACTTAATAAGCTAAGGCTAAAGATTAAATTTTCCCTAAACGCAATGTTCTTGAAAGGAAATTAAGATAAACTTATTAAAGTGAGGATTTTTTTTCAGGATACCTTTTTACAATTTCACTTATATCCTTCTCTGATATTTTCCTGTCGTTACATTGTAACATGCACTCGAGGGAAGCTTTGGTCCTATTTTCGGGGTGCCAGCAGGCAGCTTCCATCTAAAAGTAGGATTCTGCACCTTTTCCCTTTAACTTTCATTGCCCTCAAATTGACAAGTAGATGGGAAATTGTCTCTTATTCAGCCAAGCCCCAATTATAGTGTCTGGAATTGTTGTCTTCAAGAAGATTAGAGAGTGTGGACGTGATTGCAGGAGGGTCGCTTACACTGCCTGCTGCGGCTTGCGATCTTTTCTCTAGTTACTAGCAAAAAGAACAATTATTTATTGCATTCAGCATAAGACACACTAAAGGAAGCAGTTGTGAGCAATTAAATCATAATTTAGAAGTCATGAATGGCATTGGGCTAACGCTTTAAAAGGTGAAAGAATACAATTGACCGTTTCTTCCCTTCAGCGTGCTTTGTCAGTAGTTTAGTTAAAGTTGTTAAGTGTTCTTCATTAGATCTGACTTCTACATTCTGCCACCACACTGACTTCTTCAACTGAGAGAGTGGGACAGTCTGAGCTACGCATTTCTCCACAGCTGCATTCAGTATCATTTTACAAACAGTTCAGGCCTGCGTCTGTGGGAGGAGACTGGAATCTCTTCTCTCTCTTCCCCCCCCCCCTCCCCCCCCATACACAAGTTTATTTGCCTTTCCATTAAGTGGCTCACTCGAAAGCTTTCAGACAAAGTGTTGAAAAGAAAGTCTTATTTAATCTCAGTATAATTCGGCGATGAATGGGAAGTCTGGTGCAAAACTGGTAGAATTTAGAATTACTTTGAGAGAAGGCAAGCAACTGGTACTTGATTACTGAAGGGTTTATACTGCCCTCAGCTGGTCATGTGAATAATTTTCTTGGGTTGCAAAGGAAGGGTAAATGTTGCCCTTAAGGGGCTGACATTCCTCCTTTTGTTTAACAAAAAAACAGGAGAAAGGCATATTCTCCTGAAAATTTTTAACAAAACGCTGAGAAGAGAATGCATTAGCACCCTGCCTTCTTGTGCGTGTGAGAAATGCAACTGTGTAAGTGTTAATAAAAAGTTAGCAGTTTTTGGTGGCTCATCTGCAGGAAGAAAATAATAATAATAATAATCCTTAATTTGATATAGTGCTTTGGGATGTCACAAAGTGCCTCACATAATATACTGTAAAGTGATTCACAGAATATACTGCAAAGTGAATTAATTGTATATTTTGTTGGTGAAGCGCGGTAGCTAATTGTGAGCCACTCGACCCTCTAATAATCAAGGAGTCTGTGAATATAGCTGGGGAGAACAGAATTACTTGGGGGGGGGGGAGAAATATTGCAGTGACATCCGTACAAAAGATTTTTTTCAATGAAGTAGCAAGTCCTTGTAGGCATGTTTGGAGCAATACCAGCTCAAGTGCCGGCAGCCTCTAGCTCTGACACTCAGTTTTATTATAATTGCCGAACAGAAGAATCTCAAACCTTCAAGGTTGATGCAGGCATCTGTATGGCCGTGACATTTTCTCTACTCCTTTTTAAAACTTAAAAGGAAAGCTTGCCTCAAGAAGTTTTGGAGTCCAATATGTGGTGATTTCTAGCGGGATTCGTTGATAAGCTAACTTAGTAGGGATTCCTTTAGGCAACTATGTCACAGGTCATCCCAACTCACAAAATAGATTGCTTTGGAGCAGAATTCCAGTGACTTTGCATTATATACTCCTTATCAACAAAATTTTTGTTGGAACATTCCACATATTAAGATAAGTACTTGTCCCATCAGAGTTCTAAGTCGTCCTTTTATGTTTAGGACAGCTGTTTTGTGATGACGTTTCATTCCAGGGGCTTTGCAGTCCAGCCCTCAGTTTATCCATTTATTGTTTCAAAGAGTCATTTGGATGGGAATGATTCTCAAAGAACTTGTCCATTTATTAGCTTTGATGATTAACGATTCGCCCACAAAACACACAGTCACTACACTTTACGGTGTATCCTGTGAAGTGCTTTGAGATGCCTCGAAGACATGATAAGGCACTATATCAAATGCAAGGATTATTATTATGAAATTCAGTCTTTTTCAGAGCAAATTATAATAATATTATATAATTATATAATTATAGAGGGAACCTCTTCCCTCTACCGCTCCGTTCTCTATCTGTCTCCAAATCCCACTTAATAAAAGACCTCTTTAACTGTACCCACAGTCACCTTCCTCTCCTCCCTTGCTCGGCATCCAACATCATCCCTGCGTAGCACTCTGAGATATTATCCTATATGGAGGGTGCTATATAAATTGAAGTTATTAGTGTAGAATTCCTGTCGATCCATTGGAACTCTGTTTCAGTCAATTCCCTTTGGCAACTGGAAGCAAGTGTCGCACATGTCACATCAACTTGTGAAAGTCAAGTCTGAAAGAAGATTATGCTGAACTAGAATTCCCATATATTGGTTTGATGTACTTCTGTTTGCAGGAAGGAGTTCCTGTTTTATTAAGCATTCACCATGAGAAATGCCCAAAATTAGACTGCACTCTGTGCATGTCATCATTATCATCATCTTCACTGTGTCTTTCTTTTGTACCCTTAAAAAGGCACTTTAGCTAATTCAGGTCCTCCAAAGAAACGCCACAGAGGCTGGTCACCAGATTCACCATCTCCAGCAGAAGTAATCTCTGTGCAGAGTAGCCTATCTGCTCAAAGTTCAGGAAGCAAAGCTGGTAAGTGTGTACTTCTAACCCATCAGTATCTGGCCTTTGCCTTATGTTCTCATTACCTTTTCTGGTATGTTCCATTGGGTGTGAATTTGTAGTGATTTGTGGTACAGATATTATCTTGTGTACAAGGTGATATAATCAATAATATTCCTTACATTTAATACAGCACCTTCGCATGTTGTCAAGATGTCTCTTAGCAGTTCAGCATCTTAGAAGATAGGTTTCATTTGTAGTGTTTCAGAACCAGACCTGCACATTATAGTAAGTCGTATAACAAAGAGCACAGCCCTTCTAACATTTAGGTTAAAAATTATTCCAATAAAAATCTACGGCTTTTTTAAAAAAACAAACCTACAGCTCTTTTGCTGACCATCTATTGTTTTTTTTACTTCTGCAAGGTTTGCAGGTATGCTACTGAATGGATCAATTTCATATCTCTCCAACCTGCTTACACCACACTCCTTTACCCACCCCCTCCGCTCAGCTGTTCCAGCCTCCTGCATGTTTCCCATCCCTTCTGTTCCTCAGTGCTTTAAGCCAGTTCACCCCAAAATGAATGACCTGTCTGCGTCAATCCCTCTGCTTTGCTGTCTTCAGATTGCATCTGAAGACCTTCCTCTTTGATTGTGCCCACAGTCACTTCCCCTCTCTCCCTGGCTCGGAGTCAAGCTTCGTCACTGTTGAGCACTGTTTACCTCACTTGCAATGCACAATATAAATGCGAGTTGCTGTAAATTGTTGATATCGATTGTCACCCTTTGAGTTCATTATGTCCTTTGTTTGCAGATGTTATGGGACTAGCTTGTTTGACTCAATCATGCCATTTAGGACCACTTCTTTCTCCGATGGCTGTCTTTGAAGAACCTGTTGCTGTACCTGAAAATTTGCTTAAAATCTGCAGGACCAGACCTGTAATTTTTAAAGGTAAAGTAATTCAGGTTAGGTACATAATTTAAAGTTAAGTTGTATTCGGACTGTAAATTTATTGAGATTTGGGTGTAAGGATTTATTACACTCATTTGATAAAAGACTCGCTTAGTCTAATTATAGTCTATATTTACCTCACACTGAGTTCCTTCCTATCAGCCTAAGCAGAAGTCATGTCAATCAAAGCAAATATCTTATTAGAACTGTACACCTTTCAAAACTTGTACAATATGTATAATAAGTTTTTTTTGTTCACACACAAGTATATCAGCCACAAAATATACAGTCAATTCACTTTACAGTGTTTTCTGTGAAGCGCTTTGAGATATCTGAATGACATGATAAGGCAATATATCAAATGCAAGGATTATTATTATTATAGTCGTTCCACCTTCCCAGTAAATCCTGTGAAGCGATTTGGGATGTCCTCTCGATGTGAAAGATGCTATACCAAATGCAAGTATTATAATAAAACAATCTTTTATTGAAAATGTTGCTAATTGTTTCCACATGAAGAATGATTTTAGTGGAATCAAAATAAGAATATTAATTGCTGTGAAAGAAAAGTGCTAAATTCACCAATTTTGTCTTTCAGGCCATGGCAATTTTCCCTACCTGTGTGGAAATCTGAATGACATAGTTATCAGTCCACTGCTACAGACCTGCTACAAAAACACTCAGTCTCTACCTAGATTGTATGAGCAGCATAATACAACCATTGCCTCATCGCTGTCTGTGGAATTGCAGATTTTATTAACAGTCTACTACTTAGTTCAGCTAGGTAAGTGTTAACACAAGTCCAATTTGTTACAGGTAAAGATTGTATGATATGCTGCAAAGCTTTTTATTTGCAGATTGTTCAAGGTGTTAGTGAAATGTACACTGTCTTGAAACAGCAAGTTGGATAGACATGCAAAAAGTTAAAGATAATCATGTAAGTTTTTTTTCTAAGTTGTGTTATTCTAGATAGTTAGAAACCTGGGATGTGCCTTTCCATTTATGTATGTTTTGGTCAGCCAAGTGTCAACCACAAGCAGAAACCCATCACCTCGATAATAGTATCCAAATCAGACTGGCAGTTCCACATATGTATGCGCCCTATGCATGGAGATTTCTCTGTGCCTGGAATGAAATGTCTGGAGGGATTTACTCTATTTACTTAATTCCAGAGAGTATTTGACTTTGAGACTCCAGAGTGTGCTTTGGGGTACCTCCGGAGTTTAGCCAACTAAACCACACCGTTACCATTGCAAGCAATGTCTGGAAAGTTTTTTGCTGTCTGTACTGCGAGGACCACCCTGCCTAGGATTCAGACCATTTTCTAGGGCATTGGTTTTTCGAGTTAACAAGAACTCAACGGGACAAATCCCTGCCCAGTTAACCAGTCTTCCTCTCCAAATCCCGCCAACGAGCCACGCTTGCTGGTCTGTCATCTTGCTGCTTTTCCACTCTGTTCACTTTAGATTATATCTTGCCTTTCACAGTGTGCGTTATTTTAGTACCAGTAATTTGGCCCAAATTTTTCTAGGAGAAAATGAACTCTCTCGCCTGTAATAAGGTCTGTCTTGTGAGATTTAATTCCCAGGATTGCACTTCCTTTGTTGTATTTATATCTCCACGCCGCTGTCCTTGGTTGGTTCAGAACGTACCTCTCACACCGCCTGCACTTCACCTCCTCAAACAGCTTCTCCTCTAGCCCCCGGACCATCTTATGTGGCGTTCCTCAGGGCTCCGTCCTTGGTCCCCTCCTTTTCAATATCTATACGCTCCATCTTGGTGACATCATCCGCAGACATCGGGTCAACTTCCACGTGTATGCTGATGACACCCAACTCTACCTCTCTGCCTCCACCTTTGACTCCAGGACCACTGCTGTCCTGACAGAATGTCTGTCAGATATCAAGTCCAGGATGAGAGCCAACTTTCTCCAGTTGAACTTCAACAAGACCGAGGCTCTCCTGATTGGCTCCTGTCAGTGATTCTTCACCTCAGGCGCTGACAGCATCACCATCCATGGTTGCACACTCCACCTTGCTAAGCCAGACCTGAACCGTGGGGTCTTGTTTGACCCTCAACTATCCTTTCTACCCCACATCTGCACCTTAACCCTCTCTGCCTTGCCCCACCTCCGCAACGTTGCCCGGCTCCGCCACTGCCTCACACCGCAGGCTGCCAAAACCCTCATATACGCCTTCATTACATCGAGGCTCGACTATGCAAAGTCACTGCTTGTCGGCCTCCCCAACTCCTCCCTCCACAGGCTGCAGATCATCTAGAACTCTGCAGCCCATGTCCTCTCCTGCACTAGGCTCCGCGATCCTATCACCCCCATTCTCGTCCAACTCCACTGGTTTCCCATCACACAGAGGATACAGTTCAAGATCCTGGTCCTCACTTTCAAAGCCCTCCACGGTCTTGCTTCCCCCTACTTCTCCAACCTCCTAACCCCCCTACCACCCTGTTCGCTCCCTCCGCTTAGCGGGCTCCGGCCTGCTTCATGTCCCCTGCCTTGCTTGCCCCACTATTGGCGGGCGGGCCTTCCGCCACTTTGCACCCACCCTCTGGAACTCCATCCCGCAGTCCCTCTGTCTCGCCCCCTCCATTGCCACCTTCAAGACCCACCTCAAGACCCTCCTCTTTGACCGTGCTTTCGAACTCTCTGCTTCCCCCTCTGCCCTCCACCCTCCCCCACCCTGACCCTCAGCTCGGGTCTGTAACTCTGTCTGTTCAGCACCTTGGGATGTCCTCCCGACGTGAAAGGTGCTATACAAATGTAATTTTGTTGTTGTTGTTTCTAGCTTAGTTCCACTCACTCCTCATTCTCCAGTGATTAGAGTTCAAGATTCTTGTCCTCGTATTCAGTTGCCTCCCCAGCCTCACTGCATCCTACCTCTGTGACCTCCTGCATCTCTCCTATACCCCGGCCTCTGCATACGCTCAACGAACATTGGCCTCCTTCACATCCCCCCTGCTCCACCCACCATTGGTGGCCTTTAACCACTCTATGCTCGCCTTTTGGAACTTCCATCCTGGAGTCCCTCCGCCTGCCCTCTCCATCTCCTCCTTCAAAACCTACCTTAAGATCTCTCCCTTCAAGTATGCTTTCCGCTACCTTTGCCCCTTCCCAGCTCGGGCTCCCAGTCAGTTATATGAAACGCTTTAAGAAGTCCTCGCAATGTGAAAAGCGCTGTCTAAATGTGAATTGCTTTGTGAAGTCTCTGGTTTAAGCTTTTAGATTAATTACACTCTTTAATCTTGAATTAGTTTTAATTGGTATTTTCTTTATTTTATTTGTTTTTACTTTCTTTCCTAGCTCCAGACCAGGCCCCTTTGATTGAGGACTTGGAACATATTTTGGTGAGATGGTGGCAGGAATCTAACCTTACTGAAACCAAGCAATACCAGCAGATTCTGCCTCAGTCAGTGCACTGTGTCCCTCCTCAGACTTTGGCTGTCTCCCCAACACAGCTTCCTTGGTTAGCCAAGTTAGCGGCTAGTTCCTGTAAAAATGTGGTCAGGATCCTTGATTCATTCAATTCACTGGCCGAGGGTCTAGAAGAAACCTTCAAACTACTGAGCAAATATAAACTACAAGAAACCAATTTTGTGGTGATAATCTGTGTCTCTAAGAGCCGAGGAACTGAGTCATGTGTGGTGGTGACAGGTGAGCATTTATTCCTGTGAGTGTTTGAATGTGTGTAAACCTTTGAACTATGAGCAACAATTAGACAGGCTAAGGATCTTCAGTGTTGAGAGAAGACATCTCAGAGGGGACCTCATAGACGTGTATAGAATGTTAAATGGGATTGAAAAAGTAAAACCCAGAATAATACTTCAGGATGCGCCAATACAATAGAACAAGAGGACAAATGTTTAGAATTGCAAAGGGCAATTTCAGAACAGATAACAGGATACCTTTCTATTTGCAGAAGGTAATTAAGGACTGGAAGAGGTTGCTCAGGCCAGGAAACAGGATTAAATTTTGAAAAAAAACAGCTGATGCTGTGTATGGAGTGACTTCATCTCAGTTGGATTTATGTTTCTAATTGAGTTCCAACACAGAACAATTTACATTTATATATAATAGTGCCTTTCATATCAAGTGGACGTCTCAAAGCGCTTGATATGTCTGGCTGAGAACCCAAGCTGGGGATGGGGGCTGATGTGAGTTTCAGGTAGATGCATTTCTTGAGGCTAGTAGGCTGTGTCACCTCACTGAAGTTTGAGCACACATCCTTGTATCTCTGTGGAAATGGAGCTCGTCAAGAAGACATTAATTATTCCCTCACCTAAATCTCCCAGTTGAAGAAACTGGGGGAATGAGGGAAACAATTGAGGGGTATAAATATTAGTCTATAAAGGTGGTCTATTTTTCCACTCAGTGAGTGTGTACATTATAGCATTGACATTAATTATTCAGCAACTTTCTGAAGTTTTGATGTTACTTTTTAATTAAATAGGCATATTATGATGTTACAAAAGTGGGAATGAACTGAAAAGCTGCACTTGTACTCTCCTCCCTTGACTATTTTCTGTATGTTCCTGATCATTCCTTGTTAAAATCCTGCATTGAAAACATCCAGGCTAAGATTCAGAGGATGTATTCTGTCTCTTGTTTCTAAATCACCTCTGGTGTAACGAGCATGTAGGGGGAACACAATCAGAAGGAAATCTTTACAATGCAATTTATTTTCTACCTTGTGTCCATTTACACACATTTTTTTAATGTTCTTTGAAGGAAAACACCAGGCCCGGTTTCTTGCAGAAAGTATGCTGAGTCAAGCAGAGAACCTGAAGGAAATCAGCTACGAGCTAGTCACTGGGAAAGTTGGGGCACTCGGAGCTTTCTTCAGCACCCTCTGTCCAGGTAAGGTCATTGCCAGACATTCCCTACAGAAATAGGATTTATTCATATGAACAAGTTTGAGCATCAGTTACCAAAGCGTGTAGACACAGGACATTTCTATTATAACACAAAGAAATGATTACTTAGTAGTTAGTTTGATTGGAATCTAGCTCCTGATTTGGGCCATTTATGCACCTTAGATTTGATTATCTCTTAAGAACGTAAAACGGAATGAATAACCTACTTCTGACACCACTGGACCTTGGCTTCATTTTGTTAGGTTACAGCATTACTGGCCTTGAAAGCCAGATCTGACTTGCCAAAATGTTTTCTATGTATTCTATGAGTTGGGGGTTATAAAGCCTTTTGATATTGTGCTCATTGTACTGGCTTAATGTCTACCTCTCTGAGAAGAATACAGTGACACTAAAAGTCCTGTTGTACAGTAAATGCTTTGACTTGCTGCACGCAAAGAACAAACAACAACAATACAAACTGATGTTCATACAATCTACATTTATAATACAGGTTTACTGTAGTTTAGGGTAAATCACTGCTGAGCTACAAGCAGTGTTTAAAGTAGCAAATGCCCCTTACAACCAGAGACTCAGGTTTACATTCTACTGCTGAATGAATGCACGAAGTACAATATTACAACTGTCTCGGTAGTCGTGTATTGTTTCATCTGAAGATCTGTATTTGATCACAGCTCAAATCCAAACAGATGTCTTTCCCTCGCACTCTCAACAGTTGTAATAATCCTATGGAATTTGTCCTGTCTTAATGTAGTTCCTTGCAGGTACATTTACACAACAAAACATTAAAACATTGCCTAAATTTGATTCTAGTGCAGCAGGAGTACTCTTTGGAGATCGGGAGCTCTAACCTGTATCTGCTCTTTACTATTCCTGACCTGGCAATCCTTAACATTGAAGATAATGTAAAAAAAGTGGAAAAGCATTTAATTTTCAAACCTTATCCCTTCTTTCCTTGATGAGCATGAACACGAAAACAACCATATATTTTTCCCTTCAAATAATAATTCTGTTACCTATTTTGTCTCATCCCCATTGGGTATTAGACCATGTCCTGTTCATATTCATGTGAATATCCATATTCATTCACAAGCATCTGACACATGCTTCTTAGTGAAGGCTTGTAGCACTGATAATCAATTTGATTTCTGCAGAGAAGCAATAAGAATGTGAACTTAAAGCTTCTATGGCTGTGAAAGTATTATCTATCACCAGAGAGATCTAATTTGTGTCTCAAATGTACTTAACAATGTAAACTTTCTTTATCTCTGTTAAAACAATTTCCCTGGTGGAATAGTGATTTGAGGCTCTTAACACGCTTGAAGCTGCTGACCTGTAGGGAGGTATGAATATTGGGGGAAAAAAACATGGTTTAAAAATAATCAAACAACAAGAAATTGAACATCTGGAAAAAGATACCTCAAGACCTTTAGCCAATCCCAGACAATGTTATGGCTCATTTACATCACTCCATTCCTCTCATATTATGATTGATTTTATTTAGATATACGTTACAGTGCAATTGAATCCTGCATCCCATTGCTATAAATATTTAATGATAACTGTATAATTTGGTATAATCTATAATGATTAATATCCATATGTACTAATCATGTTTAATACATTGCCATGCCAATATACTTCAACTTATGGAAAATCAAATTAGTTTGTGATAAATAATTTTTAATAACATATTCGTAGAATGTCCTTGTTTGTCATATTCCTTTTACCCTCTTTGTATGGAAAGGATGAATAAAATACACCGTTGTGGGTACTAGCTGCAGGCAGCTAGTCCCAGTTCCTTGAGGTGAATGGACAAATGTGTGTAAGTCCCTTCTTTTCTGTTCTTGCTTTGCCTAGAAGGGGATATTGACATTCTGTTTGAAAAGTGTTACCAGGAAAGAAATGGCCAAAGCTCTTGTTCCAATGGCTCAACCTATAAATTTGATGAGACTACAGCTCAGAGACCCTTTGGCTGTGCAGGTAAGAAGTGATTCTCCTAGTTTTCAGATGTGAAGTTTCAAACGTTTGGAATATTAAATACCATAATTTCCAAATAATAAACTGTCCATTTGTTCTGTGTCAGCCAATAACTATAAAATAATGGTGCACTGCTTGTGGAAACTATTGCATCTTAGAACACTTTTGTTTATACTTATACTATCATTTGCATTCTCTCACTGTAAAAATAACTAGTACAATTAACAGAATTGTTCTTTATTACTACATGACGTGTGCAAACACTGTATTATACACAATGTGTAAGCAACATCACCAACTTGTGTTTCTATAGCCCCCTCCATGCTGGGCGGCGTCTCAGAGCGTAAACCATGTGTATAAAGGGAATTACGTAATTACCAACCAATTATTTTTTGTGTAATTACCAATTATTTTGATTGATTGTAATTATATAGTTAAAGGCATCTGTAATTCCCTTTGTACAGATGTATTTACATATGGTAACACATCACAAGATCACAAGACTGATAAATTAGGGCTTCGGCTCATCTGATCTCATCCATCCAGAACATCCACCCTATAATAATAATAATCTTTGCATTTGATAAAATGTCTTACCATGTCTTTGAGACATCTTAAAGCGCTGCGCAGAATATACTATAAAGTCAATTGACTGTATATTTTGTGGACGAAACGCAGTGGCCAATTGTCCGCAGCAGTGTCCCACAAACAGTTGGGAATTGAATGACCAAATTATTATCTTTTTTTTAGTTATGAGATGTTGGAAATTGGGATCTATGTAGTGTTTTTGGAATTTATTTCACATCTCCGTAGATTCGTCAATAAAAATCTGCTAATAAAAAAATCAATAAAAATCTCCTACCTTCCCCAACCTATCCTGCCATCCACCATCACTGCATCAAACTTTTTAAATATGTCTAGTATCATGGTCTCTTCCACTTTTCCTGGAACCCTGCTCCAGTCATTGATTATCTGTCTAAAGAAAAAATTCCTGGTATCTGCCCTGAAATTGCCCATTGCAACTCTAAACCTATGTACTTTTCTTGTTCTACTGTTCCATAATACATTCTAAAGTATTGATGTTGGTTCCTTTTTTTCAATCCAATTTTGTACGTTAGGGTAAGGTCCCTTCTGAAGTAGTCTACTGAAGAGCCCAGCTGATCTAGTCTTTGCTCATAACTCATTCCTCTTACACTGAGAATCATCCTTGTTGCTCTCATCTGCATTGAAATAGGGTATTGGCAGCCCCCTCACACCATGTTGACCAGAACTGTATGCAATATTCAAGGTGTGGTCTGACTAGAGCACTATACAGCCTGAGAATGACATTTGGGGATTTAAACTCAAGTGATTTAGTAATATAGCCCAGCATCCTGGTTTGCCTTGTTTATTGCTGTCTCTCACTGCTTTGACATGGTGAGTGGTGAGTCAACGAACACCCTCCTGATGAGTAATCTCCTTCAGCTTCCCACTTGACAAGTCCAATTTAATTCATGGAGTATTGTTTCCTATTCTTGGATCTTATATATAGTATCTTGCATTTATCTTTATTAAACTTCATTTGCCAGTTATTGGCCTATGTATATTCCCTAATAAGCTATTTTTGCTGCCTCCACTAATTCCACAGTTCCCCTCCCAACTTGGTGTCATCTGCAAATGTAACTATCTTACACTGTGTCTGCAAATCCAGGTCATTCATATAATCAAGGAAGAGAATGGATCCCAGCACAGACCCCTAAGGCATCCTTATTCATGCAGCACTTAATACCTCTCCCTATTTTGACCTAGCTTCCCTCACAAACATCCTCTGCTTCGTTCAGCCAATAATGGTACATAATAATAATAATCCTTGCATTTGATATTGCGCTTTTCACGTCGGGAGGATGTCCCAAAGCGCTTCACAGAACACACTGTAAAGTGAATTGACTGTATATTTGTGGGCGAAAGCGGCAGCCAATTGCGCACAGCAATGTCCCACAAACAGTCGTAGATTGAAAATGACCAATTTATTATTGTTTTTGGTTTTTTGGAGGGATTATTATTAGGTGTGGAGTAAGGAAACTTGCCCAAGGTTTCGCCCTGCCTGGAATTGAACTCAGGTCTCTCGCTTGCAAAGTGAGTGCTCTAACCACTGAGCTACAGGACTCCATAATAGACTCTGTTGAGTTCTACAGTGTTCTTTGAAGGGTTATTGTAACTCTTACTGAGGGACTAGTCTGCATACTGCCTAACAAGTAAACCAACAGTTCTATGAAGTAACAATAGTACCAGTGTTTTATTTTAATATCAGTTTTTTATTTTTATAGTTGTGAATAAGGAGGAGTCCCAAATTCATCCTATCCAGCTTGCTGTGGCTCGGAAGTTGCTGTCCCACATCTGTGCTATTGCTGACTCGAGCACGCAAAATCTGGACTTGGGCTCCTTTGAAAAAGTAGACTTCCTTATCTTGGTGCCTCCATCAGAAGTGACCTACCAACAGACTGTACTCCGCGTCAGGCAATCAGGTAAAAATGCATCACTTGCATCACTATCTGTTTCATGACTCTGAAACAGGATTGTCCAATACACTGGCTACTAGCCACATGTTCTAATTGGGAATACAGATGTAAATAAACAATGAGTAATAGACAGTGTCATTGGGCATGTGATCTCAATACTCTTATTGACACTGTATGTGGATATGTACTTTGACCTTTTTGTGCATTTGTTGGTAAAACGGTAAGAAAAAAGCAGCGTCTGAGTTTTTTGCTGGTTGTATGTGTTTTACTTGGTAACTGCTTATTTGGTCACTGCTTATTAGCACAATTGGGAACACTCTTATCTCAGATTTAGATTGTGGATTCAAGCTTCAGACAGAAATTGGATATATTCACTCACCACATGCGGCATGTTTATGGATTATCATAAATCACTAACAATCCTCTCAATGTTGATTCATGTAAGGAAACTACTCTCAATGCATTGTAGGGGAACCTCTGTAGCAAAAGGAATATTAGAGAGAAAATGTTGTTATTTCACCCCTCGGTGAAACGTGACTCTGTTTAGATGCATGCTAAAGAAGAATATTACAGAATATGGGGACAATGTGGGTATGGGATTAAACTTGGTGGTTTATTTTGGACAAAACACTACCAGCCGGGATTGGCTTAATGACTTTTTTCTGCTGTAATGTTTTCAAAATTGGTTTGGATGAAGAAGGCCCTTGGGCCCTTCCAATCACATCCTTCTAGAAATCCCACCCAACCATCCTCCCATCCCAGCATCAAACTGCTTCTTAAATAAGTCCAGTGTCCTGGTCGGAACCACCCTTCTTGGTAACCTGTTTCAATCATAAAATAAATTCTCAGATTTAACCTCTCACTCCTCCCCACCCCATCCCTCCCCCCACACACACACACCGGCAATCAATAAACAGTGAATGATCAGGAGATTTAAGATGATGATATTCGTCCTCAGATTGACCTATTTTTGTGAAATCAAAACTTACCATGTCACAAAAATTTCCATTGAGCTTCAACAAAATCCTACCTGGTGCTTGTATCTGTATTTTGCAGGGATCCTAGTGGAACTTGGATTGGAAGCTGAATCTGCTGTGAGTCATTGCGCAGAGCGGTATGTAATGAAGCTCACATCAGAGGCTCAGAGAAAGTTTGATGCCTTTCGTCAAAGAGCTCTCCAGAATCCCTATACGCTGTTCATACTGATCCATGACCACGCACATTGGGATCTCACCAGGTAAGTTCTCTTAGGTTTATCTGATCTTGATGTGTTTCTTAGCATTTTGTACCCAATGGCTCAGAGGCAGGAATTAATATTTGTCGCTATTTATAACCTGAATTTGGTAATGCATTCCTAACATTCAGAGATTTTGTTTTAAAGTTGGTGATGTTGAAAGAAAATCTGTACGCCGCTATTTGGTCACAACAGCTATTCAGAATTTTTCACTCACATTAAATGTTCACTCTATTCGCTGCAAAATATATATTTGTGATATATGTTGGATGTATTCATGCCCTATTTAAGGCTTGGTGGACTTTCATTCACAATGCTGGTGGCACAATTACTAATGTTATAGTACTGGCAAATAAGTGCTGAAATAGAGAAAACCATGTACAATAGAATTTGGATAATCAACCTTTTCGATCGACATATTACAATTTTTGTGCTTGCTTCCCCCTCTCATCTCCGGCTCTCCTTGACTCTCTGTCTCTGAGCAACCCCATCCCCAATGGCCAGATATGCTTGAGCTGCTGCGTATCAAGTAATCGGTTTGGCCCTTTTGGACAGGAGTCCGAAGTGTGAACCTTTACTCAATATCTTAGTTAAGGGTCAGTGTCATAGCAGACATAACTGGCTACATGAATGGGAATGTTGCAGTTCAGTCCAGCCTCTGAGTTGTTCTTTAGATTCAAGACATCAGGCTATATGTAAATAGATTAAACCTAACAAATGAATAACACTCAAAATTCCTGCAACAAATTTGTCAGCAAGCATGCACATTTCAGTGAAACATGGAGAGATCAGAGTTGATCAACCATGGAGAAATGCTAAGGGAAGAGAAAGCTTTCCAAGCCAAATACAAACATGAGGATTTATTTAGGAGAGAGCTATTCCCTGCCTTCCTCAACCAATTCCAAGAGCAGGTTTTTCTACCAACTTCATGTCCAAGAGATCATGATGTGTAGTTTGCTCTCACAGTTTCAATAAGAAGGAATCCTTTCTTAATTTGGTTTTGAAAAAAAAGCTCAAAATTAGACTTTTTGGATTGTGTTGAGCAATAAAAAAATAACATTTTAAAACATTACAAACTTGCGGACTCAAAAGTTATCCCTTCAAATCATAGCTCATTGTAACATTTATTTTAAAAATACTTGAAAATCAATTTGATCAGATTGTTGTTTGACCTCACTAACCACTGAGCTTCAATCAACATTGTTTGTAACTGCTGCAGCAGCACCACCATGTTCCTGTTGGTGGGAGGGCTGAGCTACATGTTTTCCTTATGTTCTCGGCATCTCCACCAGCTGGATCTCAGTAGTAGTGCAGTCTATTTCAGATGCAATACAGCCAAACCAATCAGTCATACTAAGTGACACCGGCTCCACTGAAGACAAACAAACCGGGCAGATATTGTGCAAAATATAAATTGGACATCGTACTGCTTAAAAGATTGTTCTGTCAGGAATTATATTACTATAGACCTATGTATATGACACACTGTGCCAGCCTTTCTCACTCTCTCTCCCACTCTTTTCTGACTCTATTTTTCTCTAACTCTCTCTCTTTCTCTCTCCCTCATATTCTACCTTTATCCCTCTCTGAGTCTCCTTGAATCTTTCTTTCTATCTTAAGTTCTCTCTCTTTCAATTTATCATGTCATCTTATTTCTTTCTGTGGCCTCAAGTATATACTGTACATAAGCCTTTACGTTTGTGCTACTGACAAAAAAAGTTTAGCTCAAAGTAAGAGTGAATTGCACAAGTGTGTCAATTAGGAACACGATTTCCTAGCTCTGCAGGGAAGTTACTTTGCTGGTCACCTCAAAGCTGAAGATCAGCAGAGCTGCTCAGCTGATGTGAGCAGGGGTTCTATCAGACCAGACTCCACTGTGATTTGCTTCCTTTAAAAGTCTGCGTTGATCATGGTACTGCTGTGCACATATCTTACTTGCATTTCAATCTTGTTGACACCTCCTGATCAACACTCAGGGCTGCAAAGGTGGAGATTGCAGCTGACTTGGGGATGGCACTGAGGCTTAGATTGGTTGAGTGGCTCTTTGCTAGGTTTCAACTCTTCACATCGCCATGAAGCTACTGAGAAAATATTAACTGAAAATTTCCCTAATGAGCAGATTTGGTAACTAAGTTGAGGAAGCATTGTGAGTTGAAAGCTTTGTTGATGCATTTTTCACTGAATATTTTAAATACCTGTCAAGGTTAGGGAAGCCAGTGTTGGGGATTCGAATGATTGGTAATATTGAGCTTTGCCAAATGATAGATGGCATAGCTTGATGCAGAGTAAAGTTCCCCCTGCTTTGTCCTCAACTCCTGCCTCAGACTGCCTTCCGTCCCTTCTCTGCATAGTCCTCCAGGACAGTGTTCAGGCAAAAGTTGGTGTCCTCCACAACCCCTAGCTACCAATGAGAATCAACATTTTAGTAATGTAAACAAGAGGTCCAGTTTCTCAGAAACGTATACAGTTCAGCGGAAATTATCTAGAATCAAAGACAAATTAGTTTCTCAATTTCCTGCACAATCAAAGCAAATGGTTGTGTGGCTTATAGTGATGCATAAGTAATGTATGGTGGGTTTCATGATTGCCAGTGCTTAAAGCTGTGGGCAGTGTAACTTTCAATGGGTTTTCCTGCAAGTTGTTTTCTAAGCAGTCTGGGATCCCTGTGTGAGGAATACTATATAAATGCAAGTTGTTGTTGTTCTATTGGGTGATTTCTCACTACATTACTGGAGATGTATACAGTATATCCAAGCTATTGAAAAATCACACTCCTATTTCTTTCTCTCTTGTGTTTCTTTCTTCCTTAGTGGGGAAGCCCTTCCACAAAGTGAAGCATCTCTGGGCCTTGCTGACAGAATCCTGAACTGTAAAGACATGAAGGAAGCACTGAATGTGTTAACACTCCATGTTACGTCCTTCCCCTTCTCTCTTCAGACACAGCAGACTCACATCAGTCCCTACAATGAGATCCACTGGCCTTTGCCCTGCAACAATGTAAAGTTTATAGATATTATTTATTTTTCTTAATCATGCGGGCCAAACATAGCAAACGTTCCTTTCTGCTCTTTCATGGGATCAAGGTGTAAGAGCGATGATGGCAGATGAATTTAGTGATTGTGATGGGAAAGTGTGTCTTATTTTGTGTCAGTCAATAATGTAATCATCCACCCATCAAGGTCAATCAATTTACTGTTGATTAGAGGGTCAAGTATCAGATGCCCATCGGAAGGCTTGTCAATAAAAAATTGCAAAATGATTCTGGATCTCGGCTGTGGTTGAACTCATATAATTCAGGTTGACACTCCATTACAGTGTTGGGATACAGTATAATGCAAGACCCCAGTGCAGTGGTTGAAATGTTATATTGAGATCCCACCTGCCATTCAGGTTGACATTAAAGATCCTAAAGCCATGTTCAAAAAGGAAAGGGAATTTCTCCCAGTGTCCTGGACAACAATCCTCCAGATAAAATTGGTCATTCATTTCATGGCTGTTTATACAATATAGCCGTGTGCAAATCGGCTGCTGCATTCACCTACAAAACACATGCTCACTACCAATACAATCCTTTAAAGCGCTTTGAGTGTCTTGTCGATGTGACAAGGCACTAACAAATTAAAAAAATATTATTATAAATGGAGTAAGATCATTAAATAATGATAAATTGTGAACTATGCTGTTATCTATGAGTCAGCCTGAACCTGTAACTCGTATTTGTTAGATTACGTATAAAATATCACTTATGTCCCTTACTGAGGTGAATTTGATTTTCATCGTACACATCTACTTCCATCAGTCAATCCAGCATCCTTGACAAAATACATCCTGATGTGAAAAGCCTTATATCAAGTCCAAGGATGATTATTATTTATTAATACAAGAGGAAAAGCTGAAAATGCCATCAGTTTTGTGAAGGGTGTCATGTTTGTTTTGGGAAGCTACCCAGTGAGCGCTGGAAGCTGGGTTTACTGCACTTCTGAAATAGAGAGAGCCCACAGTGAGCTTGCACTATACAATACAAATTTACATTTACGTCAGGAGGATGCTTAACAGTCCCAGCTTGATGCCTGCGCTGGGGGTAGGAGCCGAAGGGGGGTAGGTGTGGTCAACAAGATAAGTCTTAGGACGTACCTTGAAAGAAATGAGGGAGGGTCTCTGGGATGGAATTCCAGACAGTGGGGAAGATAAACTGAAAACCCAACCACTGATGGTGGGTTAGTAGGGCGGGGGATATGAAGCAGGCCAGTGCCTGCTGAGCGAAGGAAGTGGTTGTGTTGGTACAGTTTGAGGAGCAGACTTGCACTAAACCAGAGCTCCTTATAAACTGATCGCCATATTTTAGCTGATTTATGTTCTTTGTTTCTCAATAGCGAGTGGACTTGTACCATGAAAACAATAAGTACTTTGGACTGTCGGAATTTATTGACTCAACTCGTTCAGGGCACAGCCTCCCACTGCTGAGATTCGACAGTTCATTTGAAGCAATGGTTTCTGCGATGGAAGAAAGGTGGGTGGTGACACACAGATGTCACTGATTTGACATTCCACAATACTTATATAAAGACTGGAAAAAAGTCTTCCCATTTTGGGATGAAGGAACAGTCAACACAGAATGGTTGTAGGTCTGTCAAACCTTCAAATGCTGCTGCTGTTGTACTGCAAGAATAGCACAGTGACACAGATTCAGGGGATCCATATTTTAATAGTTTAGGTCATTGCTGATCACTAATATAGTAAAGGATTGGCATCACTCTCCGGGCCTAATAATCCCTTCAAACTAAATAATAATTTGTCAATCAATCCACCGCTGTTTGTGGGACACTGTTGTGCGTAATTGGCTGCTGCGTTTCAACCGCAAAATACACGGTCAATTCACTTTACAGTATATTCTGTGAAGCGCTCTGAGATGTCTCGACGGAGTGATAAGGCACTATATCAAATGCAAGGATTATTATTATTAACGCCCCGTCTTTCCAGTCTCCCGGTATTCGGAACTCAAATCTAGCCAGACTGGATCTGAATCTAGCTGGACTGGGCCAAAAATGAAACTTCATTTCTCATTTTTATCCTTGACTCCTGAAGTTGGCCTCCTGCAGTTCTAATGACTGCAGAATTTTGGAAAATTCTCAAATTCAGATATTACATTTTAAGACAGCAGTCTTAAGGTTGAAACCATGTGGTATTTTGGGTGATGAGGTATGAATCAACAGCCCAACACAGGACTATGATACTTGGCACAGACAGCCTTGAATTCACCAGCTCTGAAATTTCACCTCTGCTGAAGATGGTAACTGGCTATGATTCCATAGGCAGTGGGGTATATCTGAGACAGGTGGCATTCTAGGTTATCATCGTAAAACCATTGGATATTGTGCAAAAACAGCCCTATGGATGATTGATACATGGAGAGATACACATTGATACACTGTGAGAACCTTGGTAGGTAAGAATTACCTCAGAGCTGTTTCTCTTCCTCTTGCTTTGAAGGTTCCCCAAGTTGCACAGCGCTGTGATCCGGACGTACATTTTGATCCAGCACTACACAGCAGCTATGATGACTACAGCAGGGCACTCGCAGATGAAGAATTACTCCTCCGTTGAAACTCTAGAGATAATTCAGAGCCTTGTTCATTCTACAGGACAGTGCCCCAGTGGTCATGGTCACATGATTTTGGTCAGGGTTCCTTCCATCCCACTGGCTGCACTGGCCTATGAGCGACTGTATCAAGTCAGGCAGCGGCTGGGACTACAGCACAGGTTTGAAATCATCCTGGGGAACCCGAGCACACCAATAAGTATCGACAAGCACTTTCTAACACAGCTGAAGGTAACCAACCACTGGATACATCACAATACAGCAGTTATATTATTTGTTGCATGAACCTGGTTTACATTGCAGATATTCTATATTGCATTTCGCCCACAAAATATACAGTCAATTCTGTGAGTCGTTTTGAGATGTCTCGAAGACGCAAAGGTGCTAGATCAAAATGCAAGGATTATTATTGTTATCCAGTTGATCCTATGCATTCCCACAACATGGTATAGTATAAGTAAAATGTAGAGTGTTCACATGTTAGTGAGATTTTAATTTAAGAATTGGACAGCAGGTCAATGAAGCATTAAAAAAAAACTGGGTGAAGTACTTAATATTAAAATATTTTTTTCAGCCTATTAATTACAGCAAATATAATAATTGATTTATAAGAATGATTTTCTGTTTTTGATTGCACCATATCTGTTTCTGTCTGTTTATTCACCTAAGAATTTACATCTCATATCACAGGTACATAATATTTATTAAGGTTTCTCCCAATGTCCCAGTTAAAATTTATCATTCACTTCATGACTGTTTGAGAGATATGGCTGGGTGCAAATTGGCTGCCATATTCGCATACAAAGACATAGTCACAAAACTTTACAGTAAAAATCTGCAACACTTTTGAGACATTTTGATGACCTGATCAGACGCTATATTAAATGCAAGGATTATTATTATAAAAATAAAAGAAAATTGAGGTGAAGATTCATATCTAATCTTTTTGAATGATTCCAGCATCGTGACATGCTCAACAGCATTTTGCGGCATTTGAAAATTTATTTCCAGCTGCTGCCAATTAAAAGAATGAGTTCAGTCTTGAGACTGAAGTTGGAGAATTATCCCCTTCATTGTTGAGCAATGAAGTGCTCCTCACTAAAATACTAAAACACTTTTCATAGAGTCCTTGTCTAGACACGAGCATTTAAAATATAAAACGTCTGTTTCCTTGCAGTTTGGTTTAAAGCCTATTTAATGGTTCAGTGTTTCAGACTCAGTGGTTTGTGGAAGTGGACTGCAGGGCAAACATTTTTCATTTTATGTTTAACTGACTGATGACCCCTCCCCTTCCCCCCAGGTCATAGGTTGATGAAGCATTAAAAAAAAAGTCAGCAGTGCAAAGCTCTTTAAGACACCCTTCTAGTGTGAAAGGTGCTATATAAATGCCAATTGCTGGCTCACTCAAGCGTTTAATTTTCCAAGCAATTAAGTGGAAAAAATATGTTTCAGAAAACATTAGCTGGTTAATAAATATTGTCCGAACTGGTTGGAACTCATTTGTGTTCCTTTATTTTTAGATTTAATTTTTTTTCCACGTCCAGTATCTCCTCAATGAATATAAGAACAATGAATATCAGTTATCAAGAGAGGCTAGTGAAGCTAGGATTACTTTCCTTGGAGCAGAGAAGATTAAGAGGAGACTTAATAGAAGTTTTCAAAATTCTGAGGGGATTCAATAGGGTGAACAGGGAGAAACTATTTCCAATGTCTGGTGGGTCGGTAACCTGAGGACACTGATTTAAAATAGTTGTTAAAAGAAACGGGAGCTGAGGAGAATTATTTTTCACACAGCGAGTTGTTCGGATCAGGAATGCATTGCCTGAAAGGTGGTGGAAGCCGATTTGCTAACAACTTTTAAGAGAGAAGTAGATCATTTTTTGGACAGGACAAGTTTGCAGGGCTACGGGGAGAGCGGGGGCGTGGATTGATTTGGATAGCTCTTTTCAAAGAGCCGGAACAGACACGCTGGAAATGCGAAATAAAAACAGAAGTTGCTCAGCAGGTCAGGCAGCATCTATGGAGAGAGGAAAGTGAGTTAACGAACCGCTTGGATGAAAGATCATTGACCTGAAACATTAACTCACTTTCCTCTTTCCATAGATGCTGCCTGACCCGCTGAGTGTTCTAAGCAATGTGTCTGAATTAAACCAATCTCAGTTATTTGCAAAACGAAGTTGGGACAAATTATATTCATTACGTTCAGAATTTGATTCATAACTAAGTTAGCAACACAGTCCTGAATCCCGGTATCCACATCCTTCATAACCAACAACAACAACAAAAAAATTACATTTGTATAGCGCCTTTCATGTCGGGAGGACGACCGAAGGCACTGGACAGTCAGTGTTTCGGACCCGAGCTGTGGGTTGGAATCAGGGAGGGAGGAGGGCAGAGGGGGGAGGAGGGTCTTGAGATAGGTCTTGAGATGGGTCTTGAAGGAGGCAAGGGAGGGTGTGAGGCGAAGGATGCAGTTCTTCTGGGGTTCTTCTGAAGGTGGAGGCAGAGTGGCAGAAGGCTCGCCCGCCAATGGTGGGGTGGACAAGGTGGAGGACGTGAAGCAGGCCAGAGCCCGCTGAGTGGAGGGAGCGGGCAGGTTGGTAGGGTGTTAGGAGGTCACAGAGGTAGGGGGCAGCAAGACCATGGAGGGCTTTGAAGGTGAGGACCAGGATCTTGAACTGTATCCTCTGTGTGATGGGAAACTGGCGGAGTTGGGCGAGGATGGGGGCGATAGGGTCGCGGAGCCTAGTGTGGGAGAGGACATGAGCTGCAGAGTTCTGGATGATCTGCAGCCTATGGAGGTAGGAGTTGGGGATGCCGACAAGCAGGGAGTTTACATAGTCAAGCCTTGATGTTATGAATGGATCCAATGGTTTTAGGCAGCAGATATTTGTGTTCTTCACTTTCAGATGATCAAACACACAAACTTTGTTAATGCCATAGTAATGCTATAAAAAGTATCAGCAATATAAAGTTCTACTAAATGTATTTAACTTTGAAAGTATGTTTCATAACTTCCTACCAATATTCAATCACAAAAACACAGTCACTCTACATTACAGTATATCCTGTGAGGCACTTTGGGATATCCTCCTGATGAAATGTACGTATTATTATTATAATTTGAACCAGTTTGTTGATAATGTCAAAATGAAGGAGCACAGGTTCTCTGCCATATTCCGTTGATATTATGAGTGAAAAGAGAAATGTGCTGTGGTGAAGAGTTTCTGATAATGCAAGCCATGTAAATTGACATCAAAGACCTGATATGTGCTGTGTGTTTTTCTCACTTTGAAAGGATTGGCAGAAGATAGAGGACCCTGACTGGGCACCTCGTACATACCTGGATTTGGAAGATCTGCCATGTATACTTATTGTAACTGGCACTGATCCTCAGGGAGAGTCCTTTCCCAGGTAACAATTGGTGTGACGTTAAAAATTTAGTCAGAGGGCTTCATCCCATCCTTTCAGTTCGATGGTTTCACCTCTGTTAGCCATTTTTTAGCTGCTGTACTCATTCTGTACTCATATTAGCCTCTGTGTATATTGTACTCCAAGCTAACACTGCAGTGTAGTACAAGAGCTTGCTTCTTGAATACACTCTGGCATTCACTTGATCTATTAAGAATTATGCTTTGTGTCTCACCAGAAGACATACTTGCTTGAACGGTTTCTCAACAGACTTATCAGTGAACTGCTTTCACACGTTTATATGATGTACACATAATTGACAATTCTATAGATTGCAGGCAACTGATATTCAATGCTAATCACTATAAGGTTCAAATACAAGACTACATTTGGTGGAACAATGTTTAAAAAGCTTTAAATGTGTTAACTTTTATTGGCATCCTATGACACCACCTAAACATAGAAATAACTCCAGAAAATGAGCGGTAGACACTATTCATAGATAAATATTCTAAGTAGTCTGAACGCTCTTTAAATGTTACTTTAACCAGTTTTGTGTTTGCCTTCCCTTCTCAGGTCTGTGAAGTACTGCGACTTGCGTTTAATAAACTCGACCTGTTTGTTACGAGCAACCTTGGAACAAGAACTCGGTCTAGCAGCTTGTTATGTGGCTCAGGATGTCTCTGGGCAGACAGTCATAGTGAATGACTTCTCTGAGAGTGACCTGGACAAGCCAGGGAGCACTGATAACGATGAGGATGATATAGCCATTGAAGGTATATCTTCAGTGTAATTCTCATGCTCGCGCATCTAATGGTTTGCCAACCCATGAGATACTTTATTTTCTTGGTAGTGGAATCAATATGTCATTTGATTGTCTTGCTCAATGCTCTTAATCTTTAAATCTCTATGAAGGGAACTGAGCATGAAATTCTGTGCATAGGAATTTGACAGGAGCTGAGTGGGAAGGCTCTCTGCGCACACTGACCAGACTGCCCTCCCAAGACCTGCTGGTCTGTCATAAGCAGTTCCCTGAAGTACTGTGGACCTGCCTGCTTTAGGAACCACAACAACAACAACTTGGATTTATATAGCGCCTTCCACGCCGGACGGCCTCTCAGAGCGCTTTACAGTAACGGATCCCGGGACCGAGCCAGGGGGAGGGGGAGGAAGGTGACCAAAGGCGCGGTCGAAAAGAAAGATCTTCAGAAGGGACCTGAAAGTAGGAAGAGAGGGGGTGAGGCGAAGGGAGTCAGGAAGGAAATTCCAGAGCCTCAGGGCATAGTGGCTGAAGGCACGGCCGGCGAGGGTGGAATGGAGGACTCAGGGGACGAGGAGGAGGCCAGACCCGGAGGATCGAAGGCAATGAGTGCTGTTTTGAGGAGAGAGGAGGTCAGAGAGGTAGGGGGTTGCAGAAGAGTGGAGGGATTTGAATACAAGGGTGAAGATCTTGAAATCGATCCTCTCTGGGATAGGCAGCCAGTGCAGTCTGACAAGGACTGGGGTAATCGGGGAACGTAGTTTCGTGCGGGTGAGAATGCGGGCAGCAGAGTTTTGAATGATTTGGATTTTAAGGATGGTGGTGGATGAGAGACCGGTGAGGAGGGCGTGAGAGTAGTCCAGCCATGAGGTGACAAAGGCATGGACTAGGATTTCAGCGGCTTTCGAAGAGAGGTATTTGCGGATGGTGGGCGATGCGTCGGAGGTGGATGAAAGCGGTGCAGGTGAGGGACCGGATGTGGGGGAGGAAGAACAATTGGGGGTCGAACCTGACTCCCAAGATTGCGTATGGGTTCGGAGAGTTTTAGGGGGAAGTCGAGTAGGTGGAGGAGGTGAGAGCCGTGGGATTTGAGATGTTGACGAGAGCCAAAGAGTATGGCTTCCGTCTTGTCGACTTTCAGTTGAAGGAAATTTGCGTCATCCAGCCCTGATGTCTGACAGGCAGGCTGACAGAACATCAGGGGACTGGGAGTCACAAAGAGAGTTGGAAAAATGGAGCTGAATGTCGTCTGCGTACATGTGGAAATGTACCCCATGTCTGCGGATGACATCCCCAAGAGGGAGCATATAGATCAGAAAGAGGAGGGGGCCAAGGATGGATCCTTGGGGTACCCCGTAGGTAACCGGGTGAGAGAGGGAGGAGAAGCTGTTTGTGCAGATGTACTGCTGGCGGTTTGTGAGGTAGGACTCGAACCAGGCGAGTGCGGTCCCACTGAGGTGGATAACAGAAAAAAGGCGGTGGAGGAGGATGGCGTGGTCGACTGTGTCGAATGCCGCAGAAAGGTCCAGGAGGACAAGGAGGCAGAGGGAGCCCTGGTCACAGATAGAGAGGATGTCGTCTGTGACTTTCACAAGCGCAGTCTCTGTACTGTGGTCAGGGCGGAACCCGGACTGGAGGGGTTCGAAGAGGGAGTGGGAGGAGAGGTGTGCGCAAAGTTGATTGGCAACAATGCGTTCTAAGACTTTAGCGAGGAAGGGCAGGTTAGAAATGGGGCGGTAAGTGGCTGGAGTTTGAGGGATCTCGGGAAGGTTTTTTGATGAGGGGGGTGATGACAGGCAGGGACTGATCCGGAGGAGAGGGACTGGTTGATGACGTCAGTCAGTAGTGGGCAGAGGAGGGGGAGCTGGGTGACCAGAAAGTTGGTGGGGAGGGGGTCGAGGCAGCAGGTGGTGGGTTTCATGGAGGTGATGGTGGGTGAGAGGGAGGAATGTAGGATGGGGGTGGTGGTAGGAGCAGATGATGGTGAGGGGGACAGAGAGGTTCATGGTGGTGGGTGACAAGAGGCAGTTGGATGAGGCTGCCTGGCGGATTTTGTGAATTTTAGATGAGAAGTCCATGACCTCCTCGCACTCGGCATTGGATATGAAGATTGAGAAGGGCTGAGGGGGGGCACGCAGGAGGCAGTGGGTGGTAGAAAAAAGGACTTTCGGTTTGTGTTTAGCCTCCAAGGTGATGTTGGAGTAAAAGGCCATTTTTGCGCGTCAAAGAACGGTGGTAGCTGTGGAGATGCTCGAGCCACAGTTGGCGTGGACTGTCAGGCCAGTTTTCTGCCATCTGCGCTCGAGCAGCCGGGTTTTGGTTTTTAGGGAGCAGAGATGGTTTTTGTACCAGGGGGATCGGGTGGGATTGGAGATGGTCCTGGATTTCAGGGGGACAAGGGAGTTGAAGTGGGAGGAGAGGTGATCATGGAGCAGCTGGACGGCTCCGCGAGTGGAAGGCCAGAGGGATAGGATGTTTGATGAAGTGAGGGCCTTTGTGAGGGTCTCAGGGGGTAGAGGATGGTTGAGGGCTTGGTGGAGGAGAGAGGGATGTGAGAGGAGAAGGAGATAAGGAAGTGGTCCGAGATGGCCTTGTCCACAATGCTGAGGTCTGAAATGTAAAGGATGTGGGTGATAACGAGGTCAAGGGCATGACCACGGTTGTGGGTGGGTGAGTTTATGTGAAGGGTGAGGTTTAGGGAGGAGAGGAGGGCAGTGAAATCGGCAGGTGGTGCAAGGGGAGTTTAGGTGAAGGTTGAAATCATCTATTATGAGCAGGCACTCAGAGCAGAGGGACAGGGAAGAGATGAGAGTGGAGATGTCTGTGAGAAAGGAGCTGGGGGGGCTTTGGGGGCAGTAGTCCAGGAGGATTTTCAGTAGGAGAGAGGGGTGGAAAAGGGTGAGGTGCTCAAAGGAGGGGAAACAGCTAGAGGAGTCGGGGGTAAGACCAAGGGAGGCTTTGGGAATGAAGGCCACCCCGCCGCCACATTGGGGGATGTGGTGGAAGATGTAGCCTGGAGGGGAAGCTTCCACTAGGGAGACGGGGTCATTGGGGGAGAGTCAGGTTTTGGTGAGCCCAAGAATGTCAAGGTGCTCGTCCAGGATGAGGTCATGGATGGTGAGGGCTTTATTTGTGAGGGAATGGACATTTTGGAGGGTAATGCGAGTGGGTTTGCTGGAAGGAGGGGAGGGAGGAGAGAGTGATGTGGAGAGGAGTTTTGGGTGTACGGGAGAAATGGTTGTGGAGAGTGGTGTGAGTGGAGAGAGGGTACATATGAGGGAAGGGATTGCCTGAAAGTTGGGTTTGCTTTAAGGAGGCGGTTTAAGTGGAGGGAGTGAGTGATAGGACACGTGGGGTTGCTGCTCTGAGACAGCCAGTTCCGGGAGCCACGTTGGGCCCGGCGGAGGATGCCCAGGCTGGAGCAGAGGAAAGTGGCGATGGGGTCGAGGAGAGAGAGAAGGCGGGGAGGGCAGTGGGAGAGAAGGACAGCGGAGGAGTAGCAAATAGAGGGGGGTGAGAGGAGAGACGTAGAGGGGGGTGAGAGGAGAGACGTAGAGGGGGGTGGGAGGAGAGACATAGAGGGGGAGGCTCGAGTCGGGGCGGCAGCCAAAATGCGCACGCAGAGACTGGGAGCAAGCGATCAGCAGCATGAGCATGAGTAACTGTAGCATGAGAGGAAATCATTGAAGGAAAGTTTCATGAGTAAATCATTTTGAAAAGATCTGGGTTCATCTTCAGGCAGATAGATGAATAAATCTGCATTGTAGTGTCAGTTTCTTGATATGTGTGTGTGTGCGTGTTTGCAGATGTGCTGGTGTGAACAAGCCATGGGGAGTTCAAAGGGCAAAGATACCATTTGGAATGTGATTCCCAAAGTCTTCTGATCACCTGGATCTAATTTACTATCTGTTTATCTTACTTTAGCGATATCAGACTCTGGAAAGAAGAATAATGTTAAGAGACAACGTTCGTATTCAAACCACTCTGCCTCCTCCAGATCCTCAAAAGCCTCAAGTAAGAAAATCCCTCCTTACTTATGCCATGTATTCTTTTTGTAAAACAAAACAGATTAGAATAATTGTTTATCGATTGTTCTTTGAATTCCAATGAATATTTTGTCTCTACTTTGGGATATTAGGCTTAACATGCGACAATGAGCCTTCCCCAGCCTCAGGACAAGAGGAATCTGCGAAGTATCCATTTAAGGCTGACTCTAGCAACGCAGAGGACATTACTGCAACCCGAGAGAAACTAAAGCAAAGAGCAGAGGGTGCGCAGCAGAAAGCTACCTATGAGCTCAGCAATCCAGAGAAGCACAGGATGGATTTAGATCAAACTGACAACAATTGTGGCAAAAAAAGGAAAAACAGAAGCTCAAGAAGACCCTCAAAAAGCTTTTCTTCATGTTCTTCCTTCACTCAAAGTCAGCTTCTAGCACAGACCTCATCCCAGTGTCCACGAACAAAGGCAACGAGTCAGCCACCAACTATGTTTGTTCCACAATCTATCTATAACATAGTTACAGCGGTCGATCATACTGGTTTGGCCAAATCAACATCATTTCTTCCTCACCATTCAGTTCTCTGGGCAAGCTCCTTTCATCCTTCGTTGGCCAAAATGATGACTTGCACAGAGCAGTCTCTTTATTACCGCCAATGGACATTACCTAAACCAAACCATATGGACTATAGCAACAAGACAGAGAGTAGAACTGACCTCTTTCATCCCCGCAGACTGTTACTGAATGGTCCACCACAGGTAAGGGGAGGGTTTTGAAAGGATGGATAGCAGCAAGTAATAATACAATGTGCACAGAGGAAGAAGTAAAGAATGCATAATGTGTCAGGGTTCAGAAAGAACTTCTTTGCAATTTTATGAAGACTTGCTGGATATCATTTGTACTGTTTGAAAAGTATATTATATCGTCTTTCCCCTATCTTCTAATTTCCTCCTGAAGGTATACATTTGGATATGGTTTCACAAGCCCTCCATTACCTTACCAAATAACACCACTGAAATCCGACAATACATTATCAGGAAGCAGTGGCCACCCACATTCCATCCGGATAGTACAGTAATCAGTAATGGAATTTTCATGCCCCCCCACCGTCTCTTGTGCCTTCCACTCTACAGTCAGCCACTTCACCCCAAAACTCTGAAATCCTCTCCCTCTATCTCCTGCCTTGCCCCCCTTTCCCCATCTTAAGTCGTAACTAAATACCTTCCTCTTTCACCACTATCAAGTGCTCTGAGATGCTACCCTGCGTGAGGGGTACTATATAATTGCAAGTTGTTATTGTTGCATCAGTTCTCTTATTTGTACATGTGTAATCGCTGGTTTGCTTGACCTGCAACTCTGCTATGGAGAGGATGGGTGAGCCACTGCCAATATTTTCTGTAACTAATGGTCCGAAGGCTTAAGGAATTGTATGGAATGGCTCTGCCCTCTGCTTTTACTACCTTCCAGTAGGAAGGTGCCAAAAAGTTGGGCACCTCTTTCTCTGTCCAGAGATCTGAAACTCTCTCATGGCCTTATCTTTAAGACCATGTCTGAAAATGTAAGATTGTGTACGATTTTGGAAAATTATTAACTTGGGAGTCACTTTTCCATGGTTCTTTTAAGAGCTGTAGAAATCTGGCTTCCAAACTGAGACTGAATTTGAGAATTGAGAAATTGTGGGTTGACATTGGTTGCCAATGGTATAGGTCAGTGTTAGCCAACCTTTTTGGTCTGCTAACCAAATAATCTCTTCTTGATTAAAAACTGATTGATGGCTACACCAGAAATATTGCTATTGAGTAGCTACTAGAAACAAAATATTGATTTAACATAGATTTACCTAGACGAGTGCAAATGTTATGTTATGGGGGCCACATTTTGACCCTCTCATAGGCCACTTTTGACTTGTGAGCCATGGGTTGGCCACCACTGCTCGAGGTGCTCAGCAAGTTATGTTACTTTGTTTATTATGTGCCGTAGTGGACTATTAAGTGACATGGAGTTTTGTGACCAAGAGTAGATCATTGGCATGAGGCCCAAGTGCAGAAATATTTCCCAGATCTCCTCAAGGTCCTTATACGAAATAATAATATTCCTTGCGTTTGATGTAATGCCTCATCATATCATTGAAACAACTCAAAGTGCTTCACAAAATTTACTGTAAAATGAATTGACTGTATATTTTATGGGCGAAACGCGGCAGCCAATTACACTCAACAGTGTCCCACAAACAGTCATGGATTGAGTGACCAAATTTTTTTTAAAATAATTAAAACTACATATGAATGGACGATCTGGTCACAGTACACCTTATTAGAAAGGATTCTTGTTTGGTTTAGATTGATGATTCTTTTTTGCTTTAACCCTAATAGCGCAGGAGCTTGCTGTGTGATTTATTTGGATACAGGGCTCACATTGGTACTTTGATCTCCTGTTGGAAACAAAGGAAGTGAGATTCCACATACAAACAATTGCTCTGATCAAGGTGCATTTTTCCTGTCCTCTCAATAACCCTGCTGTTAGTTCGTGAAAGCGTTTGCGAGGATATCTTATAAGTAACATCCCACAACTGTGTGGATTTATTTTCACTCAAAGTACGGAAAGCAGGTGCAAATCGATATCTGCTGATACTATCAGTAGAAGTATAAAAGCAGGAATTGGCTTCAACTTCAACGCAATTGGAATTTATGGATACATTAAAAGCTTTGGCACCAGCACAGTGGATTAGCAGAAGCGTTGAAACTCCAGATTTAGAGTAATCAAGTCTGGTTATTACGATAACACATACATACAGAGAGAATGAGTAATGAATGGGAATGCCATCGCAAGGCTGCAGTAACCTCAAGAGTTAGTTGGAACACATTCTCGCAAACGCTTTCACGGACTAACAGCAGGGCTATGAGAAGGCGGGAAAAATGCACCTCAATCAGGGCAGGATGACAAATGTTTGCATATGGAATCTGTCCTTTGTTCAAAGTACCAATGTGAGCCCTGTACCCAAATAAATCACACAGCAAGCTCCTGCGCTATTAGGGTTAAAGAAAAAAAAATTAACAATCTAAACCAAACAAAAATCTTTTCTAATAAAATGTACCTGATCACCCACTCATATGTAGATTTACTATATAGTTTTTGAATTCAAAAAATAATAATTTGGTCACTCAATCCACGTTTGTGGAACACTGCTGTGCGCAATTGGCTGCCGAGTTTCGCCCACAAAATATGCAGTCAATTCACTTTTACAGTATATTCTGTGAAGCGCTTTGAGACATTTCAATGATGTGATAAGGGGCTTTACCAAATACAAGGATTATTATTATTATATTGTAAAGAAACTGATAGATTCTTCCAGGTGCTCACTCCCTCAGCTTTCCCTCACCTCCACCTCTACACTGGGGTACTGGGATCTTCAACCATGCCTTCATTATGTCCAGGCTAGATAACTCCAGGGGTATGAGAGGGCTTGCAAAACTCCACAGCTGCTCCCTACACAAGTTGCAGACCATCTGGAAATCTCCAGCCTACGATCTCTCCCACTCCAGTCTCTGTGAGCCTATTACCCTCATCTTGACTCACCTCCATTTGCGCCCCAACCATCAGTGGAATGAGTTCAGGAAGCTCGTCCTCATTTTCAGATGTCTCAATGGCCTTGCTCTACCCTAACTCTGCAACCTCCTGTGATCCTACTACGCAGGTCACTCCCTCCACAAGGCTGCTTCATGTCTCTCGCCCGATCTGCCCCACTATCAGTTGTGAGCTTTAACACATTCTAACCATTCTTGGCCTACTCTCTGGAACTCCATTCCAGAATCATATCATCTTGCTCCCTCTCTACCTCTCTTAAAATCTTTAAAATCTGTCTTTTCGACTGCATATTCAGTCACCTTCTTTCCCTCCACCCTCCCAATGGCCACTTTCTGGGTCATCAGGGTTGTTGATGGTGTCACTTCCTGCACACTGGATGGATGATACCATGAAGCCATGTTTTCAAGTAATCAGGCCATCTTCCTTGTTCCCTCCATCACCTCGTGATAACCCATCTCTTCCTGTCTGGCTGCCGTCTTTCCTTGTGGGGTTGGGCAATTGGGCTGTGGGGACTGAAGAACTAAAGTGGAGTTGGGTTGAGGTGCCCCCTGACGGCCACAAACAGAGGAGTTGGTGCCCTGCCCCCATTCACTGCGCTGCCTCTCACAAGGTTGTACGGACACAGAGGCAGAGCAGGAGGTAAAGGTGCCAACTGTACCTGGAGTTCCCTCAGACCTCGAGGACCTGGTTTATTGGTTAATCCGGCCTTGTCCAGCGTCGATATGTGCGGCTCACAGGAAGTAATGTTGACAACGACTGACAGCGCAGAAGCGGCCATTCTCTAGTGCAGGAAGAGGCCCAGTCAGTACTGTATTGTGCATCTGGTTCTCGTGGATCCACAATACATCAGTGAGCCAGTGCTGTACCGGGTGCTATATCTAGATTCCCTGGTAATTTTTGATATGTTTCCTCGAGGTGGAAATTCACATATATAATACGTAATTAATAAAACCTTCACACTCTGGCTGTTGAAAGTCTGTCGGGTGCAGTGACATACTCATTTAAATAATCACTTTAGAGAAATTAGAAGACAATTTTATCGTGGCCGTATACAACTATAATTAAAATGAGCCCAAAAGACTGTTATAAAGTATAGGTTAAGACTGGACAATAAATGATTATTCCTTTTTATCTTTTTCTTAGACTGTTGGAGATTTGAAAGGCTTATGATTCATCATTAGCAGCATATCCTAAAGCTCTTTGACTGTAAAATCCATTAAACTCAAATCTGAATAGAATTACTTCTAAGTGACCTGGCCAACATTCCCCAAAATAAAAATTAGTCTTTGACTTCATGGCTGTTTGTAAAACATTGCTGTGTGCAAATTGGCTGATGGGTTCACATACAAAATACAGCCATTGCACTTTACAGCAAATCCTGTGATGTACTTTGAGAAGACCTCCGAGGTGAAAGGTGCAATGTCAAATGTAATGCTTGTTTTATTTCTCTTAATATAAATAATGAAATATTTCTTGCATTTATAGTGCCTGAAAAGTATAAAATAGACGAGGTTCAATCTGGAGCCAGGTGCAACCCTATTCAAAGTGGGAGTGAGGACATGCATATACTAATTGAGTTTTTAATGTTCAATTCATTGCACATTTTCTGATTTAAAATGCACTTTCTTTTAAGGAACCACAGCCTTCTGCAGAGCAATTTAAATCTTCATTTATCCAGATATGACATAAATAAGTGATATTTGATCATAAAGCCATCTGAAAAGATTGGATGCAGTGCTGTTAATGGCATTTTTTTCTGTGACTGAGAAATATTTAAAAACGTGAGAGTTATTTATATTCTGTTCTGTGTGCTCCTTGCAATTGATCTGTTGATATGCACCAGGGTCCTGCTTTTCTCCTTCAGTGAGTGTTTTGTGAATTTTACACCGTACTCTTATAATATTGTCATAAAATGATGTATAAGTGCGCAGGGAAAATTCATGAAACTTACTGAATGGAGAAGAAAAACAGCTAAGATATGGAATATACAGAGCAGAATATCCCATCTATATTCTACCAACCTGCCCAGTGAACAATGTTTAACACACAGTTGGGCCCTAACATGGTAATGTTAGTGAATAAAACACCCTGGAACACTAGCCTGGATGTGAGGTGCTGTATAAATATAAGTTGTTGTTGTTTTTCATTCCGTGCTGAAAGATAGGATATCTCTTTATAAGCATGGAATAAAAGATGTGCTAGATTTAGCAAACAGCCATATTAGACACCAATGCTTGCATTTTGACTATGCTCAACACTATTTTATTAACAATAAATTCCATTTATATAGTGCCCTTCACGTCTTCACGTCAGAGAGCTTAACAGAATGATGCCGAGCTGTGGAATGGGGGGAGTGGCCATAGGCATGGTCAAAGAGGAATGTCTTCAGGTGTGAGCTGAAGACCGGGAAGGAGGAGGCAAACTGGAGGGATTGAGGAAGATAGTTCCATAGTTTTGGGGTTCTGTGGCTGAAAGCGCAGCCTGAGTTGGTGGGATGAGGGTGTACAGGAGGATGGAGCCAGCTGAGCGAAGACTGTGGGTACTGGAGTGGAGTGTAAGCAGGTGGAGAGGGAGGGAGATACCAGGACATGAAGTGATTTGTATGGGAGTGTGAGGATGTTGAAATCGATCTGTTGCGTAATAGGGAGCTAGTGGAGCCTAGCAAGGGCTGGCATGATGGGCTACAGCGTTTGGTGCACGTAAGGATACAGTCTGAGTTTTGAAGTAATTTGATTTCATGAATGGTGGAGCTGGGGAGACCGGCGAGGTGGGGCTTTGGAATAATCCAAGCAGGAGGTGACAAATGCGTGGATAAGGGTTTAGGCTGTATTGAATCTGAGGTACATTAAATGGAACACTTAAGAAAATGTCTTTCATTTGAGTGTTTTGTATGAATAATACTTAAAATGCATGCAACTTTAAAAATAAATGTACCTTAAGCGCACTAAATGTGCCGAGACAGGCCGGCATACAACAAGATATCTTAATACTATATAAAAGGGCGATTAAGTCAACAAATGCTAAAAATTGCTTATCCTTTTGAAACTAATCTTGATGTTGGACATTTTCCAATGCTGTGTCTTAATTTGCAGTGTAGTTCTATATACCTATTTAAGTGCTTAACTGTTTTATGATATACTTCATTTATTTGGAGGTTGGGTTTGGTGTGATTTTAGACTACTGAAGCAGAAACTGTATAGAATCTCAAAGAATGGACAGAATTATACAGGCTGCAGACAGAGAAGCTATACAAACAATTTTCTGACCCGCTTTCCCTATAAAACATGCTAGCTCCTCTCTATTAAACTCTCCAGCATCGGCCACATAAACCTTTTGGTATTCTTAATCAGTGGTTCCATCAGTAAGAAACAAATGCATCGAAAAATGAAAGCACTCTTGTAAATGTGAACTCAGTGAACTAACAGAAAACTCTTGTTAATACAGCACATAGAGAAGCTCAAAATAATGTCTGATCCTTTGAGCGACATTTGGAGAATCTGCTTTATTTAATCTGGAAATTTAGGTTTAAAATGCCAAAGCTGTGAAAATTTTGTGTAGAGATTGAAACAATTCCATGAGGGGAAAAATTCCACAGAACTTATGTAGTATTTTCAAGCATCCAGAATTTGGATAATTGCATTTTGTCTGCGGTTTGAAGTTGGTTTTCTATTAGTTCCTGAAAACTTACTGAAAAACCGTTTCAATATTAAAGCTATTTGTTTTAAAAAAAAAGAATTTGCCAAATTCTGGATGCTCTAAACTACCATGTTGATAGAGTAACTCTCGACTCAGGTGGAATTTTTCCCCAATTAAATATGGGGTGAAAGTAACATGCTAAGGCCTTGTCTTTATTATTTTGTATGTGTTTTTAAACTTATTTTTACATTGAGTCCATGTATTTCTATGGCTTTAAGACCACAAGACTTAGGAGCAGGAGTAGGCCATTCGGCCCCTTGAGCCTGCCCCACCATTTAATAAGATCATGGCTGATCTTCTAACCTAATTCCATTTACCCGCCCTATCCCCATATCCCTTAATCCCTCTAATGTTTAGAAATCTATCAATCTCAAGTCTTGAATATGTTCAACGACTGAGCATCCATAGCCTTCTGGGGTAGAGAATTCCACAAATTCACTGCCCTCTGAGTGAAGAAGTGTTTCTTTGACAGGCTTCTTATGTTTTGTGTTGGTATTGCCTCTGATCCATACCTAATAATGTTACTACCCTGGGCTTGGAGATTTGTACGACTTTAGACACTTTGGTAGGTGCTTTCGGACCCTGTTAATGGTTGGGATTGCAGATTTTTGAAGAGAATAATAACCATTTTTTGCTATCAGATTTGGTATTTAATCTGCATCTTTGTCCTCAGGTGGGGAAGACGGGAGCATATCTACAGTTCCTTAGTATTTTGTCAAGGATGTTGATTCGACTAATGGAAGTGGACGTGTATGATGAAGATGAAATTAACTTGAGTAAGTAACATAAGTGATATTTTATACTTAATCTAACAGATACTGGCATTGTTTATAAAGTTAGTAACAATTTCAGGCTGGTGCTGTAGTTATTTTACCTATATTTAACAACATTATTTTTTATTATTCAATGATCTTACTCCATAATTATCTTTGAATTTGATACAGAGCTTTATCAAGTCGACTAAACATTTAAAACACTTTACAAGAAGTGGAGAGACTGTATTTTTGAATGCAAATGAAGTAGCCAATCTGTACACCACAATGTCCCATAAATCAGCCTTGAAGTGAATGATCAATTGTATCTGGAGGATTGTAGGCCAGAACAACAGGATAAACTTCCTTCTCTTTCTGAGTAGTGCCATGACATCTTTAACATCCAGCTGAACGGGTAGATATGCTCTTGGTATATCATGCCATCTGAAGCACAGCATCTTTGACAATGGAGCTCTCCCCACACACTGGAATGCCAACCTGGGAGAACAGAAGTCTGACATGAACCCATAACCTTCTGAGTCAGAGGCATCAGTGCTTCCACTCAGCCAGGCTGACACCCTTTACTTTGAGCAGTGACACATAATGGTTGTCAAACACAGCACACTTTGCAAACTGCAGATGTAAAATTAAATATAATTTTTTGCAAGAAGGCTTTATAAATGACACAGAATATGCATCGCTTAACTGTATCTAAAAAGCATATAAATAAACATCAAATACAGAGTCACTCCCTATATTATGCGGTACACTTTCATACATTTGTTTCGTTTCAGTGCTTCAGGTGTTTTTCTGCTTTTTTCTTTGTAAATTCCTTAATGAGACTCCTCTAATAAACATTCCTGGGCAGTTCCTGAGCACGCACAGCGAGTGAACATAATCTTTCCTGGCTCATTTCAGACTTCATAATAGCCCGTTCCAGTCTTATAAATTCCCTCTTAACAATCCAGTACCTGCTCCCTATTCTGTTGCCTTTGTATGTCTGAAAGTATTATTCTGAGTTTATTTTCTAACTCCATTAAATAATAATAATAATGCTTACATTTGGTATTATGCCTTACACGTCGAGAGGACGTCCCAAAGCATTTGACAGGATATTCTGTCAAGAGCAGTGACTGTGTAATCTTGCATATCTTTGTAAGGTTTCCTCTCAGGCTTCTCTTTTTGAGGAGGTTGAAATGCTCTTTTTATTCAGAATCATTACAGTCAGGAAAGTGTAGACGTTTCAGTTAAATTCTTCAGCAGTGCTTGCTTAAATCTTTATTTAACTATCCCATGGTGATAATCATTTAAGTCTGAAGATTTCTCTGTCTTTAAACTCCACCACCACAACAATTTAGATTCATATAATGCCTTTCGTGTTGGGAGGATGTCTCAAAGTGCTTTACACAACTGCATAGGAGCCCAACTCTGGGGGAGGGGTTGTGGTGAAGGGACTGAAAGCATAGTCAAAGAGAGAGATGAAAGAGGGAGGTGGTAAGGCAAAGGGACTCCATGGAGTCCCAGAGAGTGGGGGCAGAAATGCTACAGGCATAGCGAGTGAGAGTCTAGGTTTAAGGTTTGAAGGATAGTTGGAAGCTGAACAAGGCACCAAGGTTTCACACCGGCTCTATGAGATGGAGTGAGCACCCATGTAGATCAATACAGGCAGTGCCTGCGGTATGAAGGTGCTGATGGGAGCTAAACAGTAAATTACCTGTTAAATTCTTGAGTACACAGTATATGAAGCAGTTTCTCAGAGGAACAAATATACTCTCGATATGAATTTAATGACAGAATTTTTTTAAACAAAAGTTTTGAACAAACTGTGTATATATCATAAATTAATACCAATAGATGGCAGTAGATCACTTGAAAGGTGATGGAAACCTGGAAGTGATAGTAGCGTATTAACCTTATGGATGGTTCAAATAATGAAAGTGAAGCTTGAGCTATTTCTTATTGTCACATGAACTCCGAGATGAGTTGTACTTCAATGGATTTTTTTTCTTGTATTATCTAAACTTCATATCCAACCAATCGCGACGATCCCTGTACTGAAAAATTAACATCTAATAATTTAGTAATGTAAGAATGACAATCAGGAAATTGTAGGGAACGTAATGCAACTTATATCCAATTAAAATTTACATAGCGCTGTTTATCACAGGAGAATGCCTCCTGAATGAAATCTAGGGGTGTTAGTTAGGCAAACTCAGGCTGTTTAAATAAATATAATAATATATTATTATATTTAGTTTTGAGGGAAAGGCTACTCTCTGAGAGGATCGCATTAAAAGGACTCATTTTAAGAACAGCTTGTTGCTGTGACTGGGCTTATTCTGGGAGGGGAGATGACATCAGATAGGCTGAAGGGCCTCTTTCATCGAAACCAATCTTGTGATCGTGCTCTATACAGCTGATTGCGGGTGAGGAGAGGAGTGGGACACCTGAGGTGCATTTGATTTTCCTCTTAAACATATTTGAATGGCATTCATGAGAATGTTAGACTTCTCAATTAGAATTATTACCTTCAAGTTCAATGTCATCCATCTGTTTTACTATATTTAAAGCTGTTATAATTACTTCCGGTAGTATGTTTATTAACGTCCGAATGGCCTTCAACTGTGTTCCTCTGGGTCTGTGTGCGTTATTAGTAAATAAGTGTGCAGCACTGGAACTTAGCAGCAGACCTTTGGTTATTCTAAAACCTGGGAACAATAATACTATCTTGTTTAACCTTTGTAGTTAAATAATAATAATAATAATAATCCTTACATTTGGCATTAGCTCCTTTCACATTGGGAGGGCATAGTTGAATGAGCTGAGAGATTGAAGTACAAATCTATTCACATACTTGAATTATGCAGCAGTGGAATTGTATGAGTGAGCTAAAAATTCTCAATTCCTTACATTTGATGTTCTTCTTTCAGAAGCCAAAGAAGATTTTGCCCCACAGCAGAAAGAGAACTTAATGTGGCCTGATTTAGAGACATTCAGTAAACTGCCTTTCGACTACGCTATCCATGACCCAACGTATGAAGATGCAAGTCCAGTTTACTCACAAGATCTTGAAAGCAACAAAGGTCAGTTATCGCATCGCCATAAATTTACAACTATCTAGCTTGAAATAGAGTCAAAAAATAAATAGAAACTAGTCCATGTGGAAAAGGTGATCAAAACTGGTCAAGAGGCCACAACTTGTAGGTGGTGATCAACAGCAATAGTAGTTGCCACAAAATGTTATAATAATATTAATAATCCTTTCATTTGAAATGCTGTACAGTGTCTAGCTGTCATCACCCCCCTACTGCTGTCATCACCCCCCTCTTAAATAAACCTTCCCTAGATCCCTCAAAACCCAGCCATTACTGCCCTATTTCTAACCTGCCCTTCCTCTCAAAAGCTCTAGAACACGTTGTTGCCAACCAACTCCGCGCACACCTTTCCTCCCACTCCCTCTTCGAACCCCTCCAGTCCGGGTTCCGCCCACAGTACAGAGACTGCGCTTGCGAAAGTCACAAAGAACATCCTCTCTATCTGTGACCAGGGCTCCCTCTGCCTCCTTGTCCTCCTGGACCTCTCCGCCGCGTTCGACATAATCGATCACGCCATCCTCCTCACCGCCTTTCCTCCGTCATCCACCTCAGTGGGACTGCATTTACCTGGTTCGAGTACTACCTCACAAACTGCCAGCAGTACATCTACATAAACGGCTTCTCCTCCCGCTCTCATGTGGTCACCTGCGGGGTACCCCAAGGATCCATCCTCTTTCTGATCTATATGCTCCCTCTTGGGGATGTCATCCGCAGACATAGGGTACATTTCCACATGTATGCAGATGACACCCAACTCTACTTTTCCACCTCTCTTTGCGACCCCCAGCCCCCTGATGTTCTGTCAGCCTGCCTGTCAGACCTCAGGGGCTGGATGAGCGCAAACTTCCTTCAGCTGAACGTTGACAAGACGTAAGCCATACTCTTCGGCTCGCGTCAATGTCTGAAATCTCATGGTTCTCCACGAGATGGTTCTCATGGTTCTCCTCCACCTACCCGACCTCCCCCTAAACTCTCTGAACCCGAATGCAATCTTGGCATCAGGTTCGACCCCCAATTTATCCTTCCTCCCCCACATCTGGTCCCTTACCAGCACCGCCTTTTTCCACCTACGTTGCATCGCCCATCTCCGCTAATACATCTTCCCAAAAGCCGCTGTAACTCTGGTCCATGCCTTTGTCACCTCTTGGCTGGACTACTCCAACGCCCTCCTCGCCGGTCTCCCATCCACTACCACCCATAAAATCCAACTCATTCAGAACTCTACCGCCCGCCTTCTCACCCGCACGAAACTCCGCTCCCTGATCACCCCAGTCCTTGCCAGACTGCACTGGCTGCCTATCCCTGAGAGGATCGACTTCAAGATCCTCATCCTCGTATTCAAGTCCCTGCACTCCCCTGCACCTCCCTATCTCTCTGACCTCCTCTCTCCTCAAAACAGTACCCGTTGCCTCTGTTTCCTCCGGTTCTGGCCTCCTCCTCGTCCCCCGAGTCCTCCGCTCCACCCGCGGCGGCTGTGCCTTCAGCCACTATGCCCCAAAGCTCTGGAACTGCCTTCCTCACTCCCTTTGTCTCGCTCCCTCCCTTCCCATTTTCAGGTCTCTGCTGAAGACTTTTCTTTTCGACTGCGCCTTTGGTCACCTTCCCCCCGTCCCCCTGGCTCGGCCCCGGGATCCGAAACTGTAAAGCGCGAAGAGGTCGAAGAGGAGGGTCTTGAGATGGGTCTTGAAGCAGGCAAGGGAGGGGGCGAGGCAGAGGCTCCACCAAATGTAAGGATTATTACTGTTATTTAACTACAAAGATTAAACAACAACAAGATTAGATTTGTATAGCGCCTTTCACATCGGTAGGACATCCCAAGGCGCCACAACAACAACAACAGCTTGGATTTATTTAGCGCCGTCCGTCATGGAGGGTGCTAAATAAATCCAAGCTGTTGTTGTTGTTGTAGCGCCTTGGGATGTCCTCCCGATGTGAAAGGCGCTATACAAATCTAATCTTGTTGTTGTTTAATCTTTGTAGTTAAATAACAGTAATAATCCTTACATTTGGTGGAGCCTCTGCCTCGCCCCCTCCCTTGCCTGCTTCAAGACCCATCTCAAGACCCTCCTCTTCGACCGTACTTTCGATCACCCTGCTTCCTCTACTGCCCTCCATCCTCCCCGATCCCGACCCCCTGCTCAGGTCCAACACTCTGACTGTCCAGCGCCTTGGGACGTCCTCCTGATGTGAAAGGCGCTTTACATATGTAATTTTGTTGTTGTTGTTGAGATGTCTTAAAAAGTGCTTCACAGAATTAGTGACTGTATTTTGTAGGCAAACAGGGCAGCCAATTTGCACACAGAAGTTACAAAAGCATTGAAGTGAATGAATGACCAATTTCACCTTGGGCCAGGATTAAGTGGCTGTCAAAGGAATACTTGACTACAGTTTTTGTGATGCTGATTAAGTGATGGGAATGCTTCTGGGGAATGCATTGTTTTAATTTTCTTTATTTGGATCTCTAAACTTCAAATTTGGAGACAGAAAGACGGATGAGTGGGCAAACAGAGGAATATAGGAATTACTAGCAGGAGTAGGCCATTTGGTCCCTCGAGCTTGCCCCTCCATTCAATAAGATCATGGCTGATCTTCTAAGCTAACTCCATCTGCCCGCCTTATCTCCATATCCCTTAATCCCTCTATCCTTTAGAAATCTATCAATCTCAGTCTTGAATATGTTCAAGGACTGAGCATCTACAGCCTTCTGGGGTAGAGAATTCCATAAATTCACTGCCCTCTGAGTGAAGAAATGTCTCCTCAACTCTGTTCCAAAGGGCTGTCCCTTAATCTTAAGACTGTGACCTCTAATTCTAGATTCTCCTATCAGGGGAAACAGTCTCACACTGTTGTCAAGCCTCATAAGAATCTTATATGTTTCTGTATGTTTCTACCCATGGAGGGTGATCTTATAGAAAGTTCATTGTCAAGAGAGTGAGAAACACATGCTTTCCCTTAGAGGTGAGAAAAGGAAAAGCTCCAAGGCATCTCCTTATGTTCTTTGAATAGTACCATTGGCAGAGAGTTGAAACAATTTGTGTGACCTCCAGCTATTGCACTCCATTGACATAGAACCTAACAGGTGCTTAAACATGTTGCTGGGGATGGAGGAGTTGAAGTATTACAATATTTCACACAAATGATACACAATAATAATCCTTGCAATGATCCTTGAGCCTCATTGAGACATCTCAAAGCGCATCACAGGATATACTGTAAAGTGGATTGACTATTTTTGTGGGTGAAATGTTATATGAAACTATAACATTATATGAAAAGACTCCCAGCACCGTCACATGGTACTGCATAAAGGTTAATATTTAACCATCTGCTTTTCCAATAGTTATCTCTTTAAGTAAATATAATCCTTTTATTAAAAAGTCAATTCAACTGGTAAACATGTGCTAGATAAATCTAAATTTCCGAAGACTTCTATAGATTACACTAATCCATTGGCTTCATGTGTAAAACTGAACGTTGCCAATTTATTTACTTGTCCACCTTTCTTTTTTGGTTTAAAATAAACACAATATGCACTTTGTGTAGCAAATACTCTCAACACAGGTTTCTTGCGCCTTTGAGTGTGCTCCATTACAATAGGGTTTGTGTAAGTACAGCCACTAGATGGCACAATTAATTGGCCCTATTTACTCCATTATTCAAACTCCTGTTTTGTTCACAAGATCATAAAATCGGTTTGATGAAAACGGGCCTTCAGCTCATCTGATCTCCAGAACACCCACCCTGCCATCCCTCAGCACAGTATCAAGCTACTTTTTAAATGAGTCTAGTGTCCTGGTCTCAACCACCCCTCCCGGCATCCTGTTCCAGTCCTGAATGACCCACTGAGTAAAGAAAAACTTCTTGATATCTGTCCTTAAATTGTCCTTTACAAGGACAATTGTCCAGAGCAAGAGAGTGCATGTCTCTTGCTCTGGGTTTACTTTTTCAATCCGATTTAAAATGTTGTCGTCCCCTCTGAGTCATCTTCTCCCAAGACTGAAAAGCTCCATCTTGTCTAATCGTTACTTGTAGCTCATTCCTCTGATACCGTGAAGATGCACTATTTCAGGGCCTGCTTTGGACCATGATGCCACACTGCAGATGTTATGGAAAGGTCTGTAAGTAGCTCTGTAGTGAAACCCATTGATTGCCAACCTGATTGTTTGGCACATAACAGATAAATACGTAACAAAATAATCGCTAGTGTTAGCAATTGTTGCCCAATCAGTCTCAAAATGTAGAAAGTTAATTTGATTAAGATAGAGGATATATTGGTATAAACTAAGACTTGGAATGGATCCAAAGGACTAGACTGCTGAGGATTAATGTGGAGGCCAGGACAACCGACTCATTTAAAATGCAACTCGATGCAATGATAGTAGGAAGGGAGGATGGGTGATCTGGAGGGACGAGATCGAATGGGCCGAAGGGTCTTCTTTATCCCAACCAATGTTGTGATCTTGTGTATAGGTAAAAGGCCAAAAAGAACAAACACTGGTGTAACTTTTATTAAGAACGCTAACTTGTAGCCATGTTTACCAATATCGAAGTGTTCTTGAATGTTAGCACTTATTAACGTTCGCTTATTTCTGATAGGGAAGCAAATCAATAAGAAAGAAGATGACGTCTATCTGCAACGCCACACGACTCGCATGAGGTTGTCCAAATATGCTGCCTACAACACGTACCACCATTGCGAGCAGTGCCATGAATACATGGGCTTCAACCCCAGATACCAGGTACACAATGCAATTAGCATGTCAGGCTTTCAAGTTGATGGTTCTTGAGATGTGCTGTTTGTTTTTGTTAGAATAAAAATGTTAAGTAGAAAATATTGCAATGAGTAAGCTTTGTTGTGTAGTTTTTCCATTGTGTAATTCTGCGTTAGACCAGCTAAAGGAGTCCTGAAATCTCATTATACATCCACACTGCCACTGCCCGTGACTAAATTGATCAACCAACAAAAAATTTTACATACTCATCTGGCAAGGTCAGTAAAGTAAGGATGATCATACACTTACTTACTCCCTGAATCACTTAATTTGTTCTGGTTTCCAATTCTCTGAGACGGCGACGTGAAGCAAAACTTTAGCCATTGTCAGCAAAGATGTTTCTTCCCCTATAACAAAATGTATCAGGAATTAATTTTGCTATTTGTTTCCTGCAGCCGTATGAGTCCACACTCCACGCCTTCACCTTTTCGTGCTCAATGCTGGGTGAGGAGGTCCAGCTCCACTTCATTATCCCCAAATCCAAAGAACATCACTTTGTTTTCAGTCAGCCTGGAGGCCAGCTGGAGAGCATGAGACTACCGTTAGTCACTGACAAGGTAAGAGGATATTTAACACCCTGTAGATATCATAAAGGAAATTTAACTTGGCAGAAATAATTTGATAAATTTGTGCTTTCCAACAATTTAAGCACAAGCTTAATCCACACTGCACAAGAACGTAAGAATTTGCTGGGCGAAAGAAGACCAAGGTCCATCTAATTCGCCTTCCACCATCTTGGCACTCTCATATTGTGTCCCAAACTATATATTGTATCCTGAGTTATTTCCTGATAGATCCTGTGTTGCAGTGCAGAACTGCCTTTAGCAAACTAAATGCTGCTATTAACTGGGATAAGGCAAGGCAGTGGGATTGAATGAACAGCTTAGAACAGCTGTTGAACAACCAGTGGAGATGCTATGGGCTGAATGGCCGCCTCTTATGCAAATAATAATGATAATTCTTGCATTTGGTATAGCGCTTTATCATGTCATTGAGAGCGCTCGCAAAGTGATTCACGGAATATATTGTAAAATGGATTGACTGTGTAGTTTTGTGGGCGAAATGCAGCAGCCAGTTGCATACAGCAGTGTCCCACAAACAGTCGTGGATTGAGTGACCAATTTTTTTTTAATTATTTAAAAAAATTCTGTGATACTGTGGCATATCTGTCTTGACTGTAAAGGTGCCTCCATTTAGCTCCCTTCCCTACAAACAACACATTAAAAAAAAAGCAAATTAGACTTTGGATATGACAGGAAACAGTAACTGGAATCCCAACAGATTGAATAGTCTGCTGTTCACTTTCTGCTTTCAGCTTCAGTAACTAAAAGGTTGATGTTCCTCATAGGGGAAAACTGGTTTACCTAATTTTCTAAACATAGCACTAACCAAATCACGCTTTATAAATGGAATCTTGTTGTTGTTGTTGAGAATCCGGCCACGCTAGGGAAGTACTTTCTGTAAGAAGTGTGTTTTTCTTAACATTAATTTAGGAAGTATGAGTCATCGGTAATGTCCCCGCATTAATGAGCGGTTCATGCATCTGAAGCAGCAAACAAGCCTCCTGAGCCCTTCTGAAATGACCGAGAATATAGCTGTGAGCTGTGGAAATCGCAATGATAATGGCACCTGACTTAATCCTGGCTTCAAAGGAGTAGAGATGCTGAGAGAAGCACTAATCACAATTTGTCCTTTGGCACTGCTACTGATGTTTTTTCTTGCTTATTCATGTCTACATCTTTGCTAATATTATGTTGGTACCTCATCGTCTTAGCAGATAGTAATTTCGATTAATTTGTGAATATGCCAAATTTGAGTCACTTGGGTTTGAACTAATCTGTTGCTTTAAAAATAGCAATGCAGATCCACAGTGGAATAAGATTATTCTCCCTGGGAATGGGAATAGGAATTCTCCCTAAATGTGTGATGCTTCATGTTCTAAGACATATAACACAGTTTGATGTGGGTGGTTAATGAGTATCCTTATGCTTCCAACTCATTCTAGCTGGTGGAACATACATTGGTTCGTCTCCTATTTGTTATTATTTGTTTCTTTGCAACCGAGAGGACCTGGGTTCGATTCCTGGCAGGGCGAAACTTTGGGCAAGTTTCCTTACTCCACAAGCCTCTGTTTACCTAGCAGTAATTAGGAACCCGGTTGTTAGTCGATTCGTGGTAATTGTCCCTATAAAAAAGTTGCTCAATCCACGACATTTTGTGGGCCCTTCTGTGATAAAGCGCTGTAACAAATGCAAGATTATTTTTATTATTATCATCAGGAATTAAAATGATCTAACTTGCGGCTTTATCATTATATCTCTTTTTACAGCAGAGTCAAGACTGCATAAAGAGCCCGATCTTTACACCTAGCACTGGACGGCATGAGCATGGTCTCTTCAATCTGTATCACGCTATGGATGGCGCTAACCATCTACACATCCTAGTCATCAAGGAGTACGAGATGACTGTGTACAAGAAATACTGGCCCAACCACATCATGCTGATCCTGCCCAGCATCTTCAACAGTGCCGGAGTTGGTATGTTTGGAAAAGTGTAAAATGTTGAATACTGGGGTAACTTCTGTTCATCCAGACATCGTAGCTTCACCTGGAATAAAACTTTTCATACCATGTCCGTGAAGACTAACTCATAATGGCAGCTTACAGACTGAAATGGGTTGAGCTAAGATTTCAAAACATTTACTCCTTGAATAGCTCAGAAAAAAATCACATTTATAAATCTTGCCTTATGGATGAAACACACTATAATGAAAGAAAAAAATTCCCATTCTCTCCTGCAAACGTTTGATTGCTTTCTCCCACTGAGGTACGATTCCATTAGTGGTAACATGTACATACGGAGTACCCAACTCGCATAATAGATGCAATGGAAAGTTGCCCCGATTAACAAAAGCAGCAACCCAGCCCCTAATACATTCAGAAGTGAACTGAAGGTGTCATAATTAAAATGTTTAGGGATGAAAGTTTCATTTCAAAAGTGAGTTGTGCTATGATTCAAAAACTGAAGACACTTTTCAAAATCGGCCTTTGTAAATGCATATTGAATTAATTAGCAGTGTTGACAGATTTGAGACAGTGGATTGTGAAATATTTTGGAACAGAATGTTATTTATGTTTGACATTTCACGATGCCAAGACTTCTGCTACATTTCGAGTTGGCTGAGTGTCACTGACTGCTTCATGAGACCAAGTTCAAGAGCTGCTGCAATAATAAACATTACAGCTTTGGATGACAAGGTTTTGATGACATAGTTAATTTAACATCATGGGTGGCAGGGGGTGGGGGCAGAGGGGAGACAAGTAGAGTATCCTTGGACTAAGCTGTCAGCAAAGTGAAGTGCTTATCAATGGAATGTCAGAATAGAGTTGACCCACTGTGGTGATCTCGGTAATTCCTGAGACCGGTGGGCCAGCAGTACTCCGCAACATTGTTGATGACAGAGCAGCCAGCTTGGCTCATTGGCAGGACTTGGAAGGGTGGATCAAACACGTTCCACTCAGCTCTTGTTAACCCTGCAAACCAAAGTTTTAACAGATAGTCAAGTTGGACAAGCAACAGAAGGTGTGCGGTATTAGCTGGTTAAACCTCAGCAGGCCCCAATGCACACCCTGGGGTCCCATCCCTTAGCTCTTGACAACCTGCGTGTAATACATTCTGAAATTATGTAATTAAATGTAATTGCCTACTTTCACTTCATTAATCAAATTAATTAAGTAATGAAATTAGGTGCCAGCTTGGGTGCAAATTCCAGCACCTAGGGACTTCAGCCTGACATAAAATGTGCTATACAAATATAATTTGTTGTTGTCGTAAGCGGATTGCACACCTCCGGGGAGTGAGTGTACATTCCACTCCAGGCAAAGGGAAACCTCCATGTGTAGGTAGTATTAATATGTGGAATTCTGTCTCATTTGGATACTTTTAATCATGACAATGAATTTCCACGTGTGTCAGACATCCAACTGACTCCCCCCAAAAAAATAGTTTTCAGTTTCAGTAATGTTGATCTGGTTTGATTGAATATTTTGCCCACAAAAAAAATTGTAGCCATGAAACTATCTTGCGGTGAAAGTGAAATCTGATATAACAATTTCAGTGTGCAAAAGGGGAACAAGTGGGCTATAGCTGGAGACACTGGATTCAAATTAATCAACAAGGTTGCTAATATTCTTGGCTTTGTGTAAATATATATAGTCATTATGTTGGAATATGGCATGAAAATAAACAGTTATTTTGTGAAAGATTATAAATACAGAAACAGATTTTATTACAAAAATATGTTCCACATCAGTCATGTCGTGTGTGTCAGTCCTTCAACCGAAACTTTTAAGTTTATATAAAGAACTCCAAAACAGAAGTTTGCAACTTTGAGTTGCTTTTTAAGTGACACTTAAACTGTCCTCTCTTTATTCAAGACAGTTTGACATTTGTTTAGCCTGCAAAATGTGCTAGCAAAACATCATTCTTCTCGCATTGTTGTGGAGTCAAGAGATGCATATGAGGAGACATTATAAATATTTTTTGTATGCCATTCATGTTTGCATTCTGGTTTGAGTAGTATGTTTGATTAGCAGTACTGAGTAGTCGGGAGTTGTTTAGCCAACTGGGAACAGAAATTGATGGAGGACTGGTAGAGCAGTGCTTGAGGAACTGTCTGTGGTAACTCAGCTAAAAGGCAGCAGGCACAGCCTGTTTGTGTACAGAGAGAAGAAAACATATGTGTAGCACACTGCAAGATTGTACTGTTCTACCTCCAGCTCCCATGTGAATAACAGTTTTCTCCTTTGTGTTGCAGGTGCAGCTCACTTTCTGATTAAAGAGCTGTCCTACCATAATCTGGAACTTGAACGTAATCGACAGGAGGAGCTCGGAATAAAACCACAAGATGTTTGGTCGTTTATTGTCATTGCAGATGACTCTTGTGTGATGTGGAACAGCCTACATGCTGAAGTCTCTGAGGATTCCACCAGGTAACTAAAATGTCCAAAGCACAAAATCACTCTTGCAATGACTTGGACAGATGAATCTCTCAAACTCTGTGAGCTTCATTTTCAGTTGTTATTTGGAAGCAGAATTATATTGCCTATTATAACGGAGTTGAGAAATGTAGTTATTGACATGCTCCAAGATGCAACTCCATTAAAAACATGCTGAACAGTCATTTTTGAAGGAACGCACACTTCTGTTGAGCTCAACATTGATTTCAAGAGGTTAGTTTATAGCCTGTTTGCTCTGAATATTATTTATTTGCCTACAAATATGGAGTCCCTACACTTCACAGCAAAAATTCAATGAAGAGCTTTGAGACTTTTTGACGATGTGATAAGGTGCTATATTAACTTTAAAAAACTATCATGGGTGTTCCTATGGTCAAGGCAGATGACTCGGTGTGCCCTCAGTGAGAAAGAGATGGCAGTTCATCATAACCAGTTAACCTATATTGTATAGGATGACCTTCATTCTCCAAAATAATCCTTGACTGGTATTCAATCTTGTCAACCAGCACTGAGTGAACTTTCCCTACCTTCAACTGGGTTATTTGTGAAGTGCTTCTAACTAACGGAACGCTTCATCTTAGGAGATGGAGATGAAGAGGGAGGGACAGAAGAAATTAACTGGACTCCATATACGTTGAGAACAACGTCTCCTGTGAGCGATATTGATATTGTTACTGCAGTAGAAATGTGTACATCCCTCTCTGTTCTAGTCTTATCTAAAGAAAGATTGGGAGGTCCCAGGATTGGAAAAGAAACATTATTTAGGCATGATTATATTCCAGAAACCAACTAGATTGTTAAAAGAAAAGTCATTTTGGAAAGAGAAGGGTGTTTTTTTCTGGTGTCTTAGCCAACCATTTCCTAGGGAAAAAAATTGAACATTTACTTTGAGGCTGTTTGGAGGATGTTTCGCCCACAGGAGTCCTTCAGTGGTTAAAGCACTCGCCTCGCAAGCGAGAGACCTGGGTTTGATTCCAGGCAAGGCGAAACCTTGGGCAAGTTTCCTTACTCCACACGCCTGATAATAATCCCTCTAGAAAAAAAAACAATAATAAATTGGTCATTTCAATCTATGACTGTTTGTGGGACACTGCTGTGTGCAATTGGCTGCTGTGTTTTGCCCATAAATATACAGTCAATTCACTTTACAGTATATTCTGTGAAGTGTTTTGAGATATCTCAAAGACGTGATAAGGAGCTATATTAAGTGCAAGGATTATTATTGCTGTGTGTAAATTAGCTGCCAATTTTGCTTACAATATATAGTCACTATACTTTACAGAAAATCCTGTGAAAAGCTTTGAGATGTTCTTCTGACACAAATGCAAGGATTTTTATCATTTATACAATATATTTTTGTTTTTGATTCATTATCCAGTGTATCTGCTGTACAGACTGTCTCAGAGAGAAATGTTTCTTTGAAGCATGTACTCCAGGATATTGAGACCACCACTCAAATCCCTCACTATGCCTTGTGTGGAATCATGAAATGGTCCAGTAAAGTGAGCACTCTATACCTTATGGAACCATTCTCCCGCTGTCATCTACATGATTTTTTGCTGCTAAATGTGGACTTGACTCAAAATGTGCAGTACAATCAAAACAGGTAAGCTGATCAGTGTTTAGTAAATGTTTGGGTATAATTACAGAATTTACAAACATGGCTGCTTGTGGATCGTTGCTGTGTGCAAATTCTGGAAATTTTTCACACAAGAATCATAACGTAACATGTATAATATATTGTAACGTAGCAGACATAAGGACTGGCAATGTTCGTGCCTTCTTCGAGGCTACAGCCTGGAGAGGAAAAAACTAGCCCACATGGTCAGACTGGGGAAGTTGTGGAGAAAGTGCTGTTGCTGTGGATCGCGGCTCCTGAGAGACCATGTAGATGTGAATCCCCGGGCAGGGTAGGAAGTGAGGGAGCAAGACATATAGAGGGTGTGGGGCACTCCACTGCCAAGTCTGATAGAGATAGCGAGTGTGGCTAGACCCTGATGGGGATTTTGAATGGTGCCAAAGTTTTCCCCTTATATTAAACCAATGATTTGTAAACCAAATACACATCTGCATGTAAGTTATCTGTTTGATTCTGTTGCTGCGCCAATGGAACAGGAAGAAGGACTTGCAGCTTATGGTCTAAGCAAATGATCCAGCCGAAGTCAATGGCTGAAAAACAGAATAGAGACAATATAGAGTTAACATTGGTTACTAATAGATCTTCATCTGTTAAAAGCATTAAGACCACTACATCTTTTAGGATTTATTTCATGGTAAAGCATGATGGGAAAACTGTTCGGAGAAGGCATGCAATGTTACTTGGAAAAACTTTGCAATATGATGCATGTCACAAGTTTAGATCTCTCCCGCTGGGGAGTTCCACCTATTCATGGTACCAGCAGTACCTGCCTACAACATCCAATCCATCAAGCTGGAAGAAAAATTATTGTTACTTTTTGTTGTGACGCAGGCAAGCACAGGACCCATTTTCCTGGCTGTCTCAAAATAATATATAAAATAATACTTTGTCTCTCATAGACTTCAAGTGATTATTTTCACCAAACAGACATCTGATTTTGTCTTGGAATTTTTTTTGCATCTTTATGCCCTCTCTGAGTAATCTTATTTCCACATTGATACTCAGCATCTCTCCCAATAACCACACCAGTTTGGGACTCTCTGCAGAATTGCAGGGGGAAATCTGATCTACTCACCTGTGGAGTTTGTGGACTCACCTATGCACTCTGATATGTTTTGTTTAATGTGGCTTTGCGCTTCTAAGAAAAAAATATCCAGGAATTGCTCAACAATCGGTAGAAACATAGAAATTACAGCACAGAAATAAGCCATTTGACCCATCACACCTGTCCTGGTGTTTTTCTCCACATCGTACACTTCGTCTAATCCTACTGATTCCTCACCATATCTCTTATTGTTCTTCCTTTTTAAGAATCTAATTTATTAGGAAAGTAAGATTCTCCCAGTGTCCTGGCCACCAATCCACCAGATGAAATTGGTCACTCTCTTTATGGTTATTTGTGGGACATTACTGTATGCAAATTGGCTGCCATATTTGCCTACAAATAAAAACACTACACTTCCTGGTAAAAGTGTTTAGAGACAGCTAGGTAACATGGTAAGGAAGGTGCTCTCACGTGCAAATATTATTATTGCTGTGATCTTTTTCAAAGAATTTATGAATTGTAGATGGTAATTTCTGTTTGTTAAATACCTTCCAGATTTAGCTGTGATGATGTGGATTTCAATCTTCGAGTTCACAGTGCTGGTCTTCTCATCTGTCGATTTAACCGCTTCAGTGTTATGAAGAAACAAATTTCCATTGGAGGACACAGAACCTTTCTTATCAAATCAAAGGTACTATATCACTTCATGATTGTTTGTAGATCATAGCTGTGTGCAAATTGGCTGCTGTGTTCATCCAACAATATACAATCACTGCACCTTACAGTAAATCCTGTGAAGCATTATAAAACGTTTTAACGATGTGATAAGATCCTATATCAAATGCGGAATTATTATATTTAAGGTAGCATGACTTCTTTTAAATTCTGCACTCGGAACAATCTCACAGATCAGTTGAAAGCAGGGGGGATTATTGACCTGTACTGCTACCATTTCATTCCTGTGATGTGATAAGATGTAATATCAAAAGCAAAGATTATTAATAACCATATTTGTATTTATTACAGATACCTGATGTACCAATGTCTATTTCCCCATCTCAGTATATCTATGCTCCAGACAGCAAACATACCTTTTTAGCCGCACCTGCTCAGTTACTCCTCGAAAAGTATCTGCAGCACACAAGTTATCGTCTCTTTCCACTGTCTGTAAAGAACTACAGTCATCCAGTGCTGTCTGTCGACTGTTATCTCAACCTAGGACAAGAGGTATTGTACTTGTACATTAACATTCACTGGTGTCGTCCATTGAGAACTACAATCTGGCTTTGCAGAGAAAATGTGGGAACATGGGGAATAATAACACAAAATAAATAAATTTGGTCTGCAGGATGGCTAGAAAACTCATGAATAAGCGTGTTTGTTTATGTGTTTTCTAGCATTCCGTTTTATGTCTTCCCCTGTCTGATCCCAAACGATCAACATCTGCAGTATTTTGCCTTTTGTTTTGTGAATAAATGTACTTTGAATATTCCTATCTTCAGACCAACCAGTTACAGTTACAGTCAATACTCTTGCTCCATGCTATCTTCACACTCATCACGTTTTGGAACTTGACACAGCATTTTGTGAGCAGTCAGGACTTGCCAAATGCACTTCTGGGTCAAAACATTGTCAGCTTGAGAGCCACACTATGACGTGAGCTCATTATTTGGGCTGGCAATTCAGTACAGGCCTGAAGGAGTGCTGCATTGTCCATCATTTTGATTGTCTACTTTCAGGCACTATTCTGCAGACGTATAGGAAGTTTCTCCAGTTAATGCTTCACATCAAATTCACATAATAACAGCCACTAAGGTTAAATGAACTCCTTGGAGTTTATCTTACACTGATCACTAAACTTAGTGAATTGCAATATTTAGTGATCATCTTAAAAAGAACCCTATTATGTTTTGATGTGATGTGAGGCACTATATTTTCATTATTTTATTATGGGACTAATTTTTATTATTTGATTATTTTAATTGCTCCAATCTATTGGAATTCTGTATAGAGCAATTTTTTCACACATAACCTTTGTTGGTATTCCAGGGGATAAATAAAGCTTGTACATATTGTTTAAAACTTTATTTATCATTTATTTCAGATTGCTGTTTGCTTTGTGAGTTCCCGTCCTCATTCCTTAAACATGAACTGCTCTGGCCTTGCTTTCAGTGGGCTTCTTTTATATCTATGTGACTCTTTCGTCACAGCCAGTATTTTGAAAAAGTTTCACTTTCTGAAAGGTAAGGATGCATTCCAATAACTTTTTGTCTTTGAAGTATCTACACTTTCCATTCGACAAACCTTATTACTTAAACACACTTTTAGAGACACTTATTTTTGCTACTTTCTGGAGTTGTCCAATGTTGCCTTTTCTTTGCACTTTGATCCTGATTTTTCATTTAATTTGGCAGGAGCTGATGGGGCAGGCATATAACTTGTTTACAAGCTGACACCAATGTCTCTGCTGAAACATGTCCTATCTTTTGTTCATACATGTTTTCATAACATTGAGGCTTGACTATTGCAAACTCATTGCTTGTTGGCCTCTCCAACTCCTCCTTCCATAGGCTGCAGATCATCCAGAACTCTGCAGCTTGTATCCTCTCTCGCACTAGGTTCCCTATCACCCCATCTTGCCAGACTCCACAGGCTTCTCAACACACAGAGGATACAGTTCAAGATCCTGGTCCTCACCTTCAAAGCCCTCCGTGGTCTTGTCTCCCCTATCTCTGCTCCCTCCGCTTAGCGTGCTCCGGCCTGTTTCACGTCCCCCACCTCGCTCGCCCCACTATTGGTGGGCGGGCCTTCTACCACTCTGCCCCCACCCTCTGGAATTTCATCCCGCAGTCCCTCCACCTCACCCCCTCCCTTGCCTCCTTCAAGACCCATCTTAAGACCCTCCTCTTCGACCATGCTTTTGATCTCCCTGTTTCCTCCCCCGCCCTCCATCCTCCCCGCCCTCCATCCTCCCCGATCCCCAGCTCAGGTCTGAAACTCTGTCTGTCCAGCACCTTGGGATGTCCTCCCGATGTGAAAGGCGCTATATAAATGTAATTTTGTTGTTTGTTATTGTTCAGTTGATAGCAACTTTTTTTTAAAAAAAGTCATTTTAAACATTGCCATCCACTGGAATTTCAAAGATGTGTTTAAAATGGATTTGAAATGAAAAGGCCTGAATTTATTAAACATGACACTACATGCTGTAAAGAAACAGTAAGAAATATGACATTCATACCAAATGATCAAAAGAAAATACTCCTGAATCTCATTACTGTGTTCCATAAAATACTTTGAACAGGACATGCTGGGTCTAGACTGTCCTTCCTCGATCTTGGCAGCTTAGCAATGTACATGTAATGTATGAGGATCTGCTAGTTGATGACTGCAAGTCTTGGAAAACAGTCTCACAATGTTGAGTTGCACAGGTCTGCTATTCTGCACAGGGTTACATCTATCTATAAGTAGGCTTAACTGTCTGCCTCTGTAATATCACTTTTTTTTAATCATTTCTATCTGTTTCATTCTCTTTCTCTGCTCTGACTTGCCCACACAACAGAAATAAAGAGATTATATTTCACACATGATGCATCAAGTACGTGATGCATTTCTTTCTAAACGTGAGCATTGACTTTACTTGGCTTTAATGCTCCCCGGTGGCTATTCAGGCCAGTTTCAGAGACACTGCGCACCTGTTGCCCAAGTGGACAGATGACATACCTTGTGCCCAAGTCGCTCTTCCAATTTCCATTTCCTATTTTTTTTCTCACCTTATAGGAAAATTCTTTGCCATCAATCAGGACCTTATATTGCTTCTATTAATATCAAGAAGTGATCTGCCAATGATGAGAAAGTTTGCTAACAATAATAAGAATGATTTACCCAGGGATTGGGAGTGTGAAATGTTAGTGATTGTTAGTGGCAGCATGGGTTACTGCAGCAACATGCAGCTGTTACACATATGGCTTGAGACGAATTGTAGCTTATTCCAAACTATTTTTAAAAAAAGTGTTTAATTTTATTGTTTTTCCATTTATTGAGGTTTTCCATTTCAAATTATAATAATAATAATCCTTGCATTTGATATAGAGCCTTATCACGTCATTGAGAAGCCCCAAAGTGCTTCACAGAATATACTGTAAAGTAGATTGACTGTATATTTTGTGGGCAAAACCCAGCAGCCAATGGAACCCCAAATTCATGTTGCACTTGTAAGATCTATTTTAAAGCTGTGTATACTATCGTACATTTCAACAAATTTTAGGCATTTCAAATGAGTGTTATGTTTTTGTGATGGACACTGCCTCAGGCAATGCTTTTGGATTTATTTTAAAAGAAACCCCACACATTCGAAATCTTGCCTTTACTGACTTCAAATGTTTATTTGTTTTAGGTGCCACCTTGTGTGTAATCTGTCAAGACCGTAGTTCTCTCCGCCAGACGGTTGTAAGACTGGAGCTGGAAGACGAGTGGCAGTTCCGACTGAGGGATGAGTTCCAGACAGCTAATTCCCGGGAAGACAAGCCCCTCTTTTTTCTGACTGGACGACATGTCTAAGGCATGAAAAACAAATTCCCTAGTTACGCACACAACAGACGGCAAAATCGACCACTCCAGAAGTAAAATGACTCTCCTGAGTCCTGAGCGTATTTCAGTTCTTAAAACAGTGTTTTAGAAAAAAGTAACTGAGTGGAATGATACCCAATTGTTCAAATGTGAAGAGTAATAATAATAATGTTAATAATGCTTGCATTTGATACAGAGCCTTATCACATCTTCGAGACATCTCAAAGCGCTTCACAAAACTGTGTGTTTGGGAGTGAAATGCAACAGCCAGTTTGCGCACAGCAATGTCCCACAAACAGCCATGGAGTGAGTGACCAATTTTTCTTTAGGGGATTTGTTGGCCAGGACACTGGGAGATACTGTCTTCTCTTTTCAAATAGTGCCCATGGGATCTTTAACGTCCACCTGAACAGGCAGACAGAAGCTTGGTTTAACATCTCATCCGAAGGTCGGCATCTCTGACAATACAACACAACCCCAGCACTGCATTGGAGTGTCAGCTTAGACTATGTGATTCCAAATACTGACGTGGGGCTTCAACCCACAATCTTCTGACTCAGAGGCGAGTGTGCTGCTACTGTGCCTGGCTGACACAAAATGCGCGTTGAGAACAATTTTCTGTAAACAGATTCATCAGTCTTATGCACTGCCTTAACATATTTTTGCAAACAGAGTTGTCGAAAAGTCTTCACTTACCTGAGTGACAAGAGCATTCATGTGAGATGTTTAGAATTTGATGTAGTTTAGGGTAATAAATTAGTTTATAGTAGTTATAGTCTGGATTGTCCTGGTTTCAATTAAAGCTACACTGGTCTGAGAGATCTGTCCCCTCCTTACTCAGTACTCAGTACTCTGATAGACAGATGCAAAACAGCACTTTGTTAATAATGACTGAGGAACTGAACAGTGAAACAGCTCTTTTAATTAATGTCCTGGGACACCATGAAAAAATAGGCTTTAACTTTTGAGGACTGAAAGACCTTGTTTTGCTTTCAAAATCCACGTCTTTCCCTTTTAACTGTATAGCACCTGCGATGCACATCTGATTATCATTTCAGGTGGTAAATCTCTTTGTTGTGTTTGAGAATGGAATATGGATATACATATTTGACTGAGCTGTAAATTTCTTTCCACGTGGTCTTTTGCAGTATTCATGGTGTGTTGGATTTGTTGGCACAGATTCTGTTGGCTAGATGTCTGGAGTTCTAAGCTGTTTGGCCTGATTTCAGGTGTAATCCTCTCTGATTTCCTGAAGAATGCTACATGGCAGGCTTTCTGAGGTATTTTATGGAAGACATAAATATTGGTTTGTTTTACAGTAGCAATCGAGGGACCAGCATTAGTTTATTAGCATTTAATCACTTAAACATTTTCATATTGGGATCTAGTTTCCTAATGAGATTCCTTAACAAAAGCTTTGAAGGACAAATAAGGAATCGTCACAGTAATCCAGTGGGAAAACAGGTTCCTGCAAGGCTGTGTGCTGGCCATCTGGTTAATGACTGGATTCTGTCAGTATTAAAAAATCCTGCGCTGTAAGATCAGTCGCATTGTAACAAAGTCAAAACTAACTGGGGACTTTCTTACATGTAGGGGATCTGAGGTGGGATATACAGTATATTGGCAGTTACCATGAAGAGAGGGTGTCTGTGTGTGGGGGGAAGAAGGTGGATTTCAGACTCGCTGAGGGTACTGTTCAGCTTCCTGCTTGTATTGTCATGGAGTAGCTCTCTAGGATAACACTTTAGCCAAATGCTCAGCTAGTGGAGGGAGGATCGAGGGGATAATGAGGGTTCTTTCTATTCTCCCCTCCCCCCTCAATCATTTTAAATGCGTATAGCCCAGGTTTCAGGTGGTCTGAATCTAAAAGCTGAGCTGAATTAAACGCTTGCCTTTATTCTTTCTTGTATATCTTGATGCTTAATTTTATTTGGAGGCAGAATTCCTCAAAGGGTTGATATTGCCAACATAAAGGTTGTATCGAGAAGTAGATATTTGAGGAACTGCATTGAAAGTTGGTAGTAAGACTCTGTAAAAGAGTTATGGATGGAATACTGTCCCATACAAAATGTATTAAATCTGAAAATCAATGGAAATCATTAAGTATCTTTCTGATATAGGACTTCAGTATGTGTTGCCTGATTTCTCAGATGCAGTCCTTATTTTCTAAAGGCTGCTTACTTACTCGTTGAAGGTTTGCATTGTTAGATATAAATATCGAAGTGGGGAGGAGGGGTTTCAAGGGGCTAGCATTTCCTCATTGAATTTTCTCATTGGGTTTAAAATTTTCTTAGTAACGTTATCTTGTTGCATCCAGATCAAGACTGTCACATGGAACATACATTTGTGCGTTCCGGGGGGAACAGAAATCCAGTGAAATTCCCCAGAGATTGAAGACAGGCCATTCTAACCTGCAGCTGTTATCACTCTATGGTCAGTTGATGAGCACCTCACAGAATAAGCTTTTTGTGACTTCCTGTCCTTTGAGTGAGGTTATATTTTGATTGAAATGTGTGTGTAACCCTTTCCATCCCATGCCTTGCGACTGCATTTAGCCTGTCACATCTTTGATTCTAAGCCAGAGATATGATTAAAAATATTCTACCCAACAGTTTGTTAAAAGTTAAAAACATGGCTACTGTGACTATATTCATTGAAGTATCTATAATAATAATTCAATTGAGCTCAGCATCACTCCACTGGCTAAGATATACACACTGTTACCTTAAGGTAAAAATCATAAATGTTAGGCAGTGACTGCAAGAAGTTGATATTTTGTATTATATAAGAAATAAAGAATGCACAATTTGTTGCATTCTATGTGATCACTGTGGCCTTTATTAACAATATTTAACTGGCCACAAATCACAATTTAGTGTATGTAGAAATTATAACCTCTTTTGTCCAGTCTGTGTACAGGGCGTGGATTTGATTATCACCTTGAAGATCCATTAAATTGCCGTTACCTCCTTAACTTGTTTCTGGGTTTCAAAAAGCTCCCTGGGTAAACACTGGGTATGCCATGCTTTTATGCCAGAAAACAGTTTGGGGACAAGTGAAACTCCTCTAGGGAATGGCATATTCCTGCAGTCCTTTATTTGGATGAAATTAATTTACATTGCAGTGATTTCTGATTATTTTTAGCATGCTTTCATGAAGTGACCAAGCATCATAAGATGTGACAGTCAGGAAGGACTTGGAATCTTAGAACAATTATATTTCTTTAAGGTAGTAATGGAAAAGCTTGATGTACTGCAGGGCATGGGGTTTCCTCCTTCCCATCTACCTCTGGCACTAAACAAATAACACTAGGCTTGGGCAGAGAGGAAGTGCCAGCTCACACTGGACTAAAGCAGTAATATTTGCATCTGGATTTTCTTGTGATCCCTGTAATGCTATTCGCTGTGAAGACGAGGCAGGACAATTTCTGATCTCGCCTTCATCCTTAAAACTATTTCTTCATACAATTTTTTTTAAAAAACGAAAAGTGTGACTCCTGGCCATGAGACAACAAAAGACATGTTTTACCTGATTGTGTAATGTAACAATACGACACGTTGTGTGTCCACTGTTGTACAACCCAAAGATTAGTGCTATTCTGATGTACAGTTTCCATTACATAACTTAGTACACTGTATATGTAGATCAGTCAATGCTGCCAGGGAACATTATACAGTATTTGCCATTTAAACATAAGAGGAAATCTTGCCAATATTTTCAGAAATTCCACAGGAATAATATAAATTTGGTAAAGTAGAAGTACTTCCTATTTAAAAAAGAATCAGAGGAACATATTTACAGACCAAAGAATCACATGATACCCATTAAAGAGTCAAATCCAAAGTTTTCACTTATCTTCACCCTAGTTTTTTTATATACAACTATAGGTTTGAAAAATATTGATTTTTAGTACTTGTGTCTTTTTTACAGTAAAAGTTTGGGTTTATTTCCTCAAGTTGTTTGTAAAACATTAATTGAGATAATTATTAACCTTTAGCCCCTTTATTGTGGTTTATTTCTAAATCGTGTACCTTTCTAAATTCAAAGATACAAAGAAATGGCTTGTGCGTTATGCCTGTGAAGCGCAAAAGATCCTTAAAATCACTGTGGCTCACAACCTTTTGTCAAGAGTCACAGTCCTGATCAGTGTCCTGGTGGATGACAACTGTGCAGATTTCTGTAATAGAGACTCATGAGTCACAGGTTCTTCTCAGGACCCAGTAATGCTTTCAGGTTCAGAAATTAGGGACAGCATTTTATTGAAAAATCTCGTTAATGGGTTATGGAGAATGAGAGCTGGAAAATTGTTTTACGAAAGCAGGGATAGCGAGAGCAGAAACACAATCAGCCAAATGGCCTTCTTCTGTACTTTGAAAATTTCTACTTTTCTCCGTTAACCACAAAGTAAATTTATTTTCAATCATTCCAAGTGGCTTCGATCAGGAAGAGGAAAAAGCTAAGATCAGTAGTTCAATTCATTTGAGACCTTTCACTTGCTTCAAAGAATCTATGAATAGCCCTGCCTCCAAATGTCATCTGCTTACCTGCTTTTGCGGCAGAGCAGTAATAAAGAGACAGAGCAGCAATGAATCCCAGCTCAGTAAATGTTGCCATTGACCAAAGCGAAGAATGGAGAGCCAGAGCAGCCAATGGTTCCAGGTGAAGGAGAGGAGGGCTGTAAATGTGACCAAATGTGAATATCAATACTTTAAATAGATTCAATCTTCTCAAGGACTTCATATTCACCCAATTGGTTCGAATGCCAAGGAATGACAGAGACTTATGTTTTGTTTGTGTTGGTACTTAGTACACATTTTAACAAGTGCTCACTGGGTGAAAGTGAATTGCTGCCATTGTACTACCAGCAGGTAAATATTTTACCTAGAGCATGTAAAACTTCTTATACATTACTCTCTTATTCACAGACTCTCTTAAACACAATCACATAACAGTCGCTACTTTTCACTCCTATACCTGCCTTTAATGTTCTTGCCCTTTTATTTATACTCCCACTGAACTCTTGTCTAAAGCATAAATTGTTTCTTACCAGTAATATTTAACAATCCGTTAAATTGCAAAGATGCACAGATGTCAAATTATGAGCACCTGTCACATTTTCACATACAATGCTGCAGGTAGTACAATTTAATTTGTGTTATAGAATCATAGATCACTGGAGGCCATTCAGCCC